TTTTTAAATGAACTTAGCCTTTTTACTCCCTCCCCCCCCCCCCGGGGAAATTTCTAGTTAATCGCACTTTATCTCTATATTTTCAAATTAATGACCCCTTTTTAGGCACCTTTTTTTTGGGGTTAGAACGGTCCAAAACAAAAAGGTGATAGAAACAATAGAACATTCTAATAGAGATCAGGATTGGTCCTCTCAATTAAACTTCAATTGAAGGATATTAGCTATTGGATTGTGGTCTAATGGTGCTCCGGAGAGCTACAAATTTATTTTTTTAAAAATAAATAAAAATATTTATCTCAATATCATTATATCAGGATCTGATGGTTAATATCCCTCTATTAATAAAATCAACTGAGTGTACTTTCGGAGATTCCAAATTTTGAAGTTCATATCTCTGATAATTAACTTATTTTCCTTTTTATTTTTTAATAGGAAAGGCAATACAGAATCTTGAAAGATAAAAACCCTTTCAATTTTGAGATTTTTGAACATCCGCCTTTTTGCCACTAAATATTTCTGTTGATGCATTAATAAATCTGTCGCATCATATTAAAATAAAGATAATTGATTAATTAAAAAATTTAACTGATTTTTAAACATGGTGTTAAATGTTCATCTCACGGTTGTGAACTAAAAAAAACTTTTTTGGGGGGGGGGGGGGACTGTGCCTACTTGTGCGTTTTTCTACACTTAGGAAGGCGTGAATTAGTGACTATGGCTGGAAAATACCCTTAGAAAAATGGAGATTTTAGTAACCCCCAATCTCTCCAATAAAAAGCAAATTTTATTTCAGAGGAACCTCCTAGCTGAAGTTCTAAATGAGCCACACTCATCGGTTTGTTGTGTTTTTGTGATGATCAACGAATAATGAGTGGTCAATATTTCTTATCGAATGTTTTTATTGCTCCATTCATGGAATGTGATAACCCACCAAATGCCTTTGGACGTCATGGGAGAAAGTAACTTCAATACTTCCCACCGGGAGTGGATTTTACAAGCCATAGGCGTCACGGAGATTTTCTTCTCTTTTCCAACAAAACAGCAAGGTAAACAATCAAGGGAAGTGTATTTCCTTGAAATTTCTTCAATGGTTTTCTAATTGTTAGCATTACATTCCTTCACAAACCATCAAGCTTTCAGGCATTACCAGTAATCTTTACCGGAGCACGAACCATTCACAAAATAGTGGAATCTACTGCTATCTCTAACAATTACAATTCTCCCGATAACTTTAGACATGAACTTAATGACAGAACGACAATCAGCACAGATTAGATTCTTCTTCACAATAATTGGCTTCCCGATTGGCATGCTAATTGGTGAAAAAGCCACAGCAATTCTCTCATTGTGATGATGAAGATGCTTCTCTTTCAATGCCTTGTCCATCTCAACCAGAACTAATTCTGCCTGAGGAACATGTCCTGCATTCTTTATTTGATCAAATAAGACTGCCAAGCTTTTCATAACTTTCTTTTGTGGATGGGACTAGTCTTCAGCTTCAAGTATATGGGTTCTGTTTTGGATATCAACCCAGCTATAACCTGGCAATTTCTTTATGTTTCCGTCTCTCATCATCTTCCTCAAACTAACATCTTCGCATTGTCCTTCCTTAGCAAAAATATTTGACCGCAGAACATGAGTTCCACTATTTTCAGGTTCAAGCTTCATCAATTTTTCTGCCGCAATTTTGCCCCTTTCCTAAAGCATTTGGCTCAAATGGCATATTATTTATAAAATCTTCAGCTTCTTTGAGCTTTCCCGCTCGACCAAGTAGATCAATAACACAACTGTAATGCTCCTCTGGGCATCACCCCATAAATCTTGTCCGTGGAACAAAAGAAGTTTAGTCCTTCTTCTACAATTCCTGTATCACTGCATCTTATTAAAAGACTGACAAATGTCATTGCGTTTGGTTTAATCCCTTTGTCGATCATCCGCTGGAAAGTTTCAATGGCATTTCTTCCTAAACCATGCGGTGCAGAGGCTCCCAACAATGAGTTCCATGCTACATTATTTGGTTTCGCGATCTACTCAAACACTTGGGTTGAGTGATCAAAAAACGCACGTTTTCGATACATATCAACAAGATTTGAAGCAACACAAGGGTCTCTATCAAAGTTAAATTTGACACCTTGGCCATGAAGCTGGGTTCCATGTTCTAGTGCTGCTTGGTTAGCACAGACGATTACTAAGCTAGAGAAAGTAAATTCATTAGGTTCAACTCCTTGCCTCCGTAAGTCAACAAAAGTACTTAGAGCATCTTGGATTTTGGGCCCATCTCAACGTATCCATCAATTGGAGCAGTATATGACACTATATTCCTACAATGTTTGGAAGATTTTTGAAGCACTTTCCATGTCTCGAGACTTCGAATACAAGTCTATGACAGCATTTACTAGAATAGTATCCAATTCAAATCCCCTTCACAATAGTTGCGTGGAGGGACTTCCCAAGATCAGAAGACTTTAGTGATCTACAATAAAGTGCTACAAAGTGCATGCTGATCAGTCAAAATATCATCACTGATCATCTTCTTATAAGCTATCAAAGCTTCCTCACAATCTCCATTCTTCACATAGCCATCAATCAAAGAAGTCCACAATACCTGGTCCTTGCAAGGCATCTCATTAAAAACCTTACAAGCATCATACATTATTCCATGCTTCGAGTACATGTCTGCCAAATTACTCTCCACAAATAGTTCGTTGCTACAACCACACTTCATCGCGAGACTATGCATTCGTGTCCCAAGCTCAATCGATTCAAGAGAGACACAAGCTCGAAGAACACTCGAAAAAGAAAATTGCGTTAGTGCTTCTCCAGTATTCCTCATTCGACAAAAAGTATTCAGAGCCTCCTGAAACCTCCAATCTTGAGAAAACCCACTGATCACTGCTGTCCAAGAAACCACGTTTCCTTTTGGCCTTTTGTCGAACAGTTTGATAGCGCACTCTAAGTTCCCCATTTCTTGAGTACATGTCCATTAAGTGATTGGTGAGGAATGTGCATAGTGGATGGGCACCTCGTATGAGCTGAGCATGCGGCTGCTTTCCTTTGTTTGTTTAACTCTCTAGTTTGTGCATAGCTTTGAATAAGGTGAGCCCCCTCTGTCATGTCCTTCAGCTTGTTACTTCCCCCCCATAAAAGCGTCCCCATATGACTGTTCATGAATTCGTTTCAGCTGGACCATCGAGCCTGTAATAAGGTGAATTTGAGTTTTTATATCAGTTTACCAAATAGTTTTTCAAATAAAAGAATATCATTTTGTCAAAGAGTTTTTCAATTAAAAACTACTGTAAATCAGCCATTCCATTTCATAGTGAAATTTCAAAAACACATCATGCAAAACATCTACGGATATAATTGCAATAGACATCCAATTCCGGTGGATGTAGATGGGATCCATCTGAAGATAGATAAGATTAGTGAGGGTATTGCCTTCTGCTTTTGTCAACCATGTCAAGTTCACATGGATACCTATCCCACATATCAATTCTTTCACCTCGTTTTATCTGCATCACTTGGAAATGTAGCGTTGAATCGTTACTTAATGGCCTTGTTGTGATCGCTTTCTTCAACTTTTTATGTGAAGCCAAAGGAATTATCATATTTTACATGACTGCATCATTTTATTTGAGTTCGTGTTTTCTGTTTCATATCATCATATAATATTTCTATCTCGTGCTGTTATACTTCTTAAACTTAAGGCATTTTGAGTACAAAATCCCTCAGATAATACTACCTCCGTCCCAAACTAATCTGAATAGATTAAAGAGATAAGTTAAGTTAGTTATTTGTAATAAATAGGTATTGTCTTTCTTAAAATATCCTTACTAATTAAATATATTAGTTAGAACTACCATTATTAAAAGGATTACATTAGGAGAAAATACGCAAGTATAAGAAATAAAGTGGATTAGGGTCTTATATTTAGAACTATAATAAAAGTCAAATGAGTTCTTATATTAAAGATCGAATGCAATATTATTATACTATTACATGCAATACTTAGCATGAGATTTGATTTTTTTTAATTAATTTGGATAGATTAAAAAATAATTAAATTATTTTTTTCAACCAGAACAATATTTTCATGCACAATGTGGCTGAGATATCCGAGGAGGGACCTCAGGAAAGATGGTGGGGCCAAATTTCAGGGAAACCACCCACTTGGCCATACAATCAGCCGCAGTATTTCTCTGCCCCAAGGGGAATGACCGGACTCGAGAGGGGAGCCCCCGGTTTGCTAGTTCCCTCCAAAAAACTCATTTCTGTAATGTTTCTATGTATTATTTGTCCTGCAAGAGGGTGTAATAGTGGTTTCCTGATCTTGGAGGATGCAATCTCCAAATGAAAAGACATGTCCAGTCCCATACCAGCTAAATCACAAAAATAGTTTGCAAAAAAAAATTCAACACATAAAATAATAATGTTTTTTTATGGTGACCATTAAAATTTAAATATCTTTTTCAGGGAACTCCAGAAAAAAGTCAGTTTACATTCAGGGGACAATGATAAACCACTGGTTACGATTGCCTACGCAAATCAAATTCATTAACCTCATTGGTCGAGAGCCGAAAATGAGATATAACTTCCCGGATCAACATGAACCTCTCATCCCTCCAAAAATCTGCCCAGAATTATGAGGAATCCCTGGCTCTCCACACCTATTCATTTTCTTATGACCTCATTAACACTACACACACACACACCCACACAATTTACATTAAAAATAAATGACCCCAGCAAAATTGCAATGCTAGATGCTTTTTTTTTTCCCCCTCTTTTAGTACGTGCATCTTACTACTGGATTCTTTGACATCTCATGGTAACAGGACACTTAATTTTTTCGTAAAGGTCATATAAATTTTTTTTTATAGTATGAACAGAAATAATAACAAGGTTTGGTGGCTGTTCCTAACAAACCCGTTTTTCTTTTTGGGATTTCCATCCCTTGGCACTTTCAGTACTAACGAGGTTGGAACGAAGCCAGCCACACGTTGAAACCCCCGCTCCAACAGGACACGTAATTTTCTCATTTACCACACAAAAACGAACTTTGCGGGTGATGTGCATAATAAAATTTCCATTCATTCTTTGGCGTCTGTTGCCTACCCTGAAGCTGAAGGGTACAAAATCAGCCACTCATCGAAGTTCCAAACATCAACACCCTCTGTACATTCTACTTCCTTCTCTCCTCTGCTCGGAATGGAAGCAAAATCCTCTCTACCTCCGACTAACTCTTATACCCAGATAACCCATCAACCATTGAAATTGAAGAAACCCCACGACGATAATACTGAGCAAATAGGCTCCTTTACGAGCAGCTGCAGCTTCGATGACAGTGATAAAGGTGATACACAAAACCCATCAGCTTCAAAAACTTGTCTCTTCAGTGAAGAGGAAATTGCAATTCAGAAGCCTGAGTCGGCTGCTGTAAATGCGAGAGAGGAAATTGTTGGGGCAGAGGATAATGGACGAGAGAGGCTGAAGCGTCACAAAGTTGAAGTGGCTGGAAGGGTTTGGATTCCTGAGATGTGGGGTCAGGAAGAGCTTTTGAAAGATTGGATAAATTGCTCTGCTTTTGATGCTCCCTTTGTTCCCAGCAGGATTATGACGGCACGAGCGGCTTTGGTCCGAGAAGGAAGAAGGGCACTGCTCGTGGATTGACCATGTAAAACAGGTCTTTGATTTTTCATTCGTCAAGCACATTTAGCAGCCTGTTCCTGTGGAGGATGGTTTATAAATCCTCACCTTGTTTATAAAACCACTGTGTTACATTTTGTACTTGCATCAAGAACATGATTTGATGAATAAGTCCTTGATTGGCTAGCCACCAACTCACTCACTACTGTGACCATGCTTATGGTACGAAACAAAACTTGAGCAAGTGATTTTTCTACAAAACTGCAGTCATACTTTCCTAAAGAACGCCTGATAGTAATAGAAGAATATGATTATGAGTCCAAAGTTTCATTAGTAATAGAACGTTTGTCGCTTAGTTATACCTTTTCTCCAGCCGGTGCTTTGATTTTCTTTCTTGTGTGAAACATGACGTCTTTCTTCAAGCTATGACACTGTTAAGTAAGCATTCTTATCTAACACTAACAGTGGCACTGGAATCCACTAACCCAACATTCGTGGAAAGACAAGTCTACTTCCATTGAACTAAGTTGACGTCTCTGTCCTGGGCCGCCTTCTTCAGAACCAATTCATACCCACCTCAGCAAAGGGAGGCGGGAGCTGCGCCGATATATGGTGTCGAGGAACACAAATTCGATTATTTAAGAAGTTTTTTCGGCCCCTTGGTTATAATTCTCATTTACAACTGCACAATGATATACATACCCTAGGAGGGAGTATATAAATTTGGCCTCAAGAGTTTGACGGAAGCGAATGCCAATACACACACGCACACACGCGCGCGCGCACACATCTTCAAGAGAGAGTAAGAAACAGAAAAGGATCTGAACCGGCACTGTGATTTTTAAAATGAAAAATTATAATTCCCATATGGGAACTTCGTTGTTCTCCAATCTCCACAATCCACACGAAGATGTTGTGCAGTTAATTATCAGCTGCTTGAGGGTCTATGGTATTATTTCTTGATGAGAGAGAGAAAAAAACTCCATCCAGTTCGTATTATAAATTTTAAATAATTAATTCACAGATAACAAATAATTAGATAAAATTAGTTTAAAATGGTAAACAAGTTAGAAATATACTTTTATTTCAAAATGTGATCTTATAATAAATAAAAAATATGTAAAAAATGTGATGAAAGAGATTATGACAAAGGGAAAAAAATAATTGTGGGCTAAATTAAGAAAAATGCAATAAATGATATCATTTTCTAAATTTAAAATTTATGAACAGTACTGGAAGGAGTAAATGATATAGAAGGAAGGCGTTATTCAAAAACAAATAAGAAGTATTTGCAAAATTACAATATTCACCTTCTCTTCTGTGGCCCCAGAGTAAGAGCACATTCCCAAAAAGATATGGGTTAAAGTGAACCTGCATCATTTGCGGACGACTAGTTGACTGCTACAATTGTCCGGTTCAAGTGAACCGGTATGGCTTGCCTTCGGTCCGGGAGCGTTAGGAGGCCTAACCTAACATTGGGGCGGAGCGGAGGAGCGAGAGAGAGCTGCAACCCTAGGGAGACCAGAGACACAATCAGCGATTAACCGGAGAAATACAGCGAAGCTAATTGATCATCCATGGATTCAGCAGCTCGAAGGAGTAGAGGAGGTCTTCTTGAAGGCCTTTACAAAGTCATTATGCGCCGCAACTCCGTTTATGTTTCCTTCATCCTTGCCGGTGCCTTCCTTGGGGAACGGGTCTGTCCTCAGTTTTAATTTAAAGCTCTTGTTCGTCTAATCTAATCGGAGTCTCGTTAGTTGTGTCTCAGCTTTCTTTGTTTTGCATTTTCTAGGAATTTTCTTAGGATTAGGCGCATTTTTTGTAGTGGCGAGATTAGAATTCTTTTCCCTTCCTGGAAACCGATTAATGCTTCAGCTGCCAGTACCCTTCATACGAATGATCTGGTTCCTGTTTGTTTGAGGCAAAACTTCGAAGAATGCGGGTTAGGAAAGGATAGGTTATCTTATTGTCATGTTTCAATCACAGTTGATTATGGACAAAGTTTCGAACATGGCACCAATGTGTTTCTATAGGAAGTACGCGTGAGTAATACTCCAACTCTCACAATCTGCGAGTAAGCGGAGGTTGGTGAGATTTGGCATGGATGATATGAATATCAGCAGCATAATGTTTTAAAATCCATTGCTCTGTTCCAAAGAGGGCTTAATTCCTTTCACGATATTTGTAATTTGTTACTTTGTTGCGTACATTTGTTTTCTTGCGATCAGAATAATTATGAGATTTGTTATTGGTTGCAGGCTGTGGATTATGGTGTTCACAAGCTATGGGAGTACAATAATGTTGGGGTAACAAATCTGCTTCACTCTAAATATAAGATGTTATATTTTTTTTTTACTTTGAGTATCGATTTTATGGTGCCTGCCTTTTGTGAAAGATTCATTTATTTATTTTTGAAATGTCTAACTTAATGTATTTAATTGAGATGATGTCTTTATTGGATCTATTCTTGTTCTTTATGTGTTAGGGCTAGAAATGCAATATTTTCATGCATATCTGCCAATTTGGTGTTATGACTTGACTTCTGTCTCCCCTGAAACTTCTTGACTACTGCTTTGTTGAGTCGTCTGAATAGTGTAGCAGATTGGAGCCACGATACTGCCTCTTTTGAACTCGCCTACATGTCTAGATCATAATTCTAGCCAACAACTTAATGATGTTTGCACGTAGCCATTCTCGCTGGATTTTGGAATGGGCTCCAAAGTCTCATAGTTTATGAATACTTCTTAATGCAAATACGTTTTTTTTGGGTTTGAACCTGATGCAATTTTGACACATTGTGATTGTGCCTAGATCACGATTTAGACTGTTTCATTAGAGTCTTTCTAATATCTTCCATTATTTCCTGTCATTTAACATGCTCTGGTGGCCCTCCTTTCCAAAAGAAAAACCACAGAAGAGAAATGGTCTTGATGTGAAGAGCTCGATCTCACGATCTTACGGGAGTTTGTGACTCTTCGTCTATGAATCACCTCAAGTTTTGTATGTGTGGTTAAAAAAAATTTGTTTACACATAATCCAACACTAGGAGGATAGCTGAACCCCTTTTGAGGTCAAGCTCTCCATAGCCCTACCGAAGGGGGAAAATGATGACTTGTTCTCTGACATGCACAAACTTTTAGACAGCTATCTTTCTGCCCCTTAATTCCTCATTTGTCTTGAGTGTTTAGAAAGTTCCATGGGAGCAAGTTGTGAATCGTCAATTGGCCTCTCTGTCTCATGAATATTGGTCGATTTTCATGTTTTTTCAAGTCTAAAATCTAAACGCACGGCCATTTTCCTCCTGTCCATATTTACTCTAACCAAATATAGCCTAAATAAGAGAATAATTTGAGATGGGGACAAAGAAGGATCTGATCTTGGTCAGTAATCACTATTCGACGAGACTTCCAATGTTTGATAGGGAAGAAGGAGGACATTGGAATGGTTAGGATGAGGAAATTTGTTACGAACTGCACTTATTACATGGTTTTCTCATATGAATAGAGCATTTTAAATTTCCATTGTCCATCATATCTGTGCTAGCAGGACAAATAGTTGTTCCCCATTACCGCACATAAAATTTAAGATTTCTATTTCTAATACTTGTGATGTTGCGCTGTTGATTTTTTTGATGGTGACAAATGTTAATCCCATTTTATCCTTCTGCAGAAACGATATGAAGACATTCCAGTGTTGGGGCAAAGGCAATCAGAAGAGTAAATCGTTGGACCAATTCACTGGCCGTCTTTGAAGTTTCATACTTTTTGGAAATTTGGACCTGATGGACTAGATACGGATTTCCATTTTTGTAATAAGTGTCTGATGATTGCTTCTTTTGTCAATCTTGATTCACAAGCATAATTGCATTGATTGTTGGGAGTATAAGGAGCAAGCTTATTTGCTCGAACAATTTATTCCGAAACGTCGGAGTACGTAGTTTATCGGAACTTTTGTCCTAATACTGGCACTCTGTTTTTGGTACTTGCAAGATCCGAATGGCATTAATGGAAGAAGCACTGAAAAATGGAAGTATCTCATATGCCGAGTTACTTTTTGGTGCCTGACAAATTTTCCTTATTCAAACTGGGGATTGTGGAAGTGGTAGGCTTTGTCTTATTGTTTACTTCTATAAATTTCATTCGTAAAACTTGGGAGATGAGACTGACATGTCCTGCGGACGATTGCTTTTTTTTTTTATGGGGGGGGGGGTGGTATTTAAACTGATCTAAGTAATACCGGGTGCATCGTTGCACTTGGCAGACGGATGATTGAGGTTTGTAATCGAGGTTAGGGACCACAATAGAGAGAGCAATGAGAAGGAGAATATAGAATTATGCATTTTTGTGCCAAATATTCATTAAGAATGAACGGATTAGGCATTGAGCTGATCACGTTCCCTTGGCCTGTGTTGGAACCGATCCGTTCAGCTTTCATTGCTACGCACATATGCGGTCGTGTCTTTTTTGAAAAACAAGTATCACATCCATTTGTCCGCCGCTTGCCTGTGCTTCAATAACAAGTTCAGCCTCAACGTCATCTGCTGGTTTAGATCCTCACACATTCCACCCTGCTACATACCTCGGCCTCCCTTCACAAACCGTTGGAAGTAAAAAGACAACCATAATTATCGAAAATAGAATCAAATATACATGTGAAAAATTACAAATATTGTCACTCGGGACAGGGATGACGCTACGGCTAAGTTAAATCAGTTCCAGACTTCAGCAGCAAGAGCCTTATCCAAAAAGTGATTAATGCTCGTAAAAGGCAAGTGTGAGCAATGTTAACTAAAGCCAAACATATAATCAATTCGAGCTTTCCACAGGCTTAGCTCAACTTCAGTTCCTCTAAAATTCAAGGGTAATGTAAAGAGAGGAATCAAGCAACGGCATGCACAATTTCATGATCAACCATCTTCTATTTATTGAATTTCATTTGGCACTTGAGGATCGTCTCTCATTCTCTCTCATACCATGATCAAGCCCTTTTTGTCTAGTTTACAATGTGCAGCTTAAGGTGCCCAAGTTTTATCCAATGCAATCAGGATGCAACATTGATAAGATGTATATTTGAAAGTGATTATATCTGACTGTCACTGGGGAAAAAGGTAACATAATAGATAAATACAAAACAGAGAATTAAGTTTCTTACGACAATTCTTATGTCCAGCATGAGAGTTTCTCAGTCATCTTTGCATCAAGTTTACATAAGTCATAATTGAGGACCAATTAAATGCTACATTGCCTATAATTTTACTTCCAGGGTTTAGAACATTATCAATTAGGGAACCCATTCATCAATTTATTATACGTAGCAAGATCAGATATAAATCCCCTATCCAACATTTCATTTAACACTGATTCTCCCTCCTTTTGACTGCCCTCTCGTGCATACCCAGAAACCAAAATTCTATAGGTCATGCCATCTGGTTTCAAACCTTTTCTTGAAGCCAGCAATCTCAACTTATCTGCATATGCTGTTCTACGCATATTACAAGTATCCTCAAGAACAGAATTAAAAGTCACAATATCGAGAACCATATTTTCCTTGAGCATCTTTTCTGACAATCTAAATGCTTCTTCAGTCTTCCCCAAGCTCCTTAAGCCGTCAATTAATGTAATGCAAGCAATCAAGCTAGGGGCATTTCCTTGGTTCCATAGCTCATAAATAAGCTCCAATGCCACAGCAACATTACCTTTTCCACATAGAGTCTCCACCAAAACAAAATAATCGTATCCATTGGGCAAAAGTCTCTTGCTGGACAAGTCTGCTAATATCTCACATGCCCGCAAAACCTGGCCTTCCTTACAAAGTCCATCAACTAAAATCTCACATGTCACGCTTGAGAGCTGACACCCCAGCTCAATCATCTCGTAAGCCATCTCAATCCCTTCTTCAATCTTCCGCTCCCTAAAGAGCCCCTTAATCAAAGTATTAAAAGTGACCACATTGGGATTGCATCCCTTTTCCCTCATCTCCTTAAACAAATCCAAAGCCAATCCAAACTGTGAATTTCGACAATAACTACTGATCAAAATATTAAAGGTAAACACATCAGGCTTCACTCTATCTCTTATCATTCTATCATAAAATTCCAACGCTTTATCATGCCTTCCGCATTTTACAAACCCATGAATCAAGCAGTTACAAATCACAACATTAGGTTTCCCATCAATCAATCTCCGCATGCACTCAAAAGCGAAAACAGCATCGTCCAGTTTTCGGGCTTTACAAAAAGCGTTAATCGAAAACTGGAATATGGATTCAGTTCTAGAGCAAGAGAATATACCGTCGGAGCAGGGGCAAGGATTGGAAACCATGAATTGGAGAAGAGCTCGGAGTTCGACCAGGCGGTTCGTAACTGCGAGAGTACGAGCCATCCATTCGAAAGTAGAGTGATTGTGGCGATAAGAGTCGATAGTGGCAGCCCAGTTGAAGATATGAAAGTCATAGATGGTGAAACTAGGATGGTGATGGAGCTTGGATTTGAGGAAGTGGAGAAGGCTGTCCGGCGTGAAAGGAGGAGTGAGATGGATCTTGACGAAGCGAAGGAGGTGATGATAGTGGGAGTTGGGAGAGAGAGTAAGAGTAGGAAGTGGGGAGAGAGAAGTATCAGGTGGGGCCGGAAGCGGAGGGTTGGGGATCGGAGAAAGGGGCGGTGACGACGACGGGGGCGGTGGTTTAGCGATGGGTTTTAGAAACCTCTTCAAGCCCATTCGCCGATCACGTTTACCGTTAACGCCAGCATCAGATTTTTGTTCACCCTCGTTTTATTGTTCCTCCGGGGGAGATCCGATTAAAAAAATGTTCGATAAAAACAAAACCGTAATTTTAAAAATATGTTTACAAAAAAAAATTTTTTAAAAGAAAAATGTTTACCCTCTTTTTATTTTCTACTTTTCCCTTTATTCTCTTCCTCGTGCTGATCTCGCGCGCCACTCAAAATGTATCGACAGGAGGGAGTCAGCACTGACCATTCCATCCGCTGCCGCAAAGGCCAAAGCACGTTTTGCTTCTTGAAACAAAATCCGGGCCGTTCCATCTTGTCATTTAATCTGACCCCTTGATTGCAAAGTTCCTCTCGGTTTCTCTTTCTCTTCTCCCAGCAGCACGTTCGATTCTCTTTCTTCTTTGACCAGGTTGAATTTCATAGTGCTTTCACTTCCGTCAGTTAATAAACATGAAAAGGCCACTTCACTGACTGCCCAAAAGAAGATTCACGTTGCCAGAAAAACTCTCACTCTCCACCATCGGGGCTCTGGTCTAAGTAGTAAGCGGTTTGATACTGCTTAAATAAGGTCTTGAGTTCGAGCCTTAACGTATACAGAAATCTCTGTTAGAAGACTCACCCACTACAATCAGGTGCGTCATGCGAGTCAGATTCAGATGTAGTCGGAGCAAAGTTCTGGTAAACTGTGTAGGCAACCCAAAAAAAAAAAAAAGAACTCTCACCCTCCCTAATCCAGCCAGCTCTAGCCAACCTTGCAAGGATATACCTGCTCCAAATTCTACCCATCCTAAACATTGGAAATAAACGATTTAAAGATGAGAAAATACACCAAAAGTCCAGAAGCAAAGTTCAATACAAAGCATAACAACCTACAAAATATCTTACCCAAGCAAATAAAAATGAATCCGAATGGATGATGTTTTGGAATTATTATGATTCAATTTTTCAATGCCTATGATCAACACAGCGATCTCTTTTGAACTGACTCAGCAATACCCGACAGTGCTTAGCCCATTCTAGTTCTTAACCTGAGCAACTTCACAGTCTAGAAAGCCGCCGTGGCAACCAGTACTTTTATTAGATGATACATTCAAGACCAATCTAATCAACACAGTGGTTGGTGAAAGAGTTATAATCAGTGGTACTCAAATATGCAAACATCGAAGTGCACCTGATGTTTTGTTCAATTGCTTGATACAAGTTGGGAGTCTATTTAGGGCTTATATGTTCTGCTTAACAAACATCCCATCAATAGGTACTACTTCCGTCCTATTTATAAGATTTCATTTATACACTATAAATGAGATTTTATAATTAGAATAAGAGGTGATATAATTTTTTCAAATCATGCGGTGAACTGCATAAACTAATTGGCCTACTGGATATCGTAAAGATTAAATGATCCCAGAAATATTATATGCCGGTTACTATACGTACATGTGATGGACATGTAAATTTTAATATTGTTTTAAAAGAAGTGCTGAAGCAGCTGAGCAAATGTTTATGTTCATTTCTAACTGCGGAATGGCATGAAAGATCATATATATATTTCTTATATGAAAGATCCTGCAGAAACACTGCTGAAAAGTAGATATGGATATCAAAATTAAAACTTGTTTGGACTTACAGAGGAAAATTATGATGTTACATGTGCTGGCTGTATCACTATGATTCCAATAAAGTGACTAGGATAATCAATTTTCGGAGAAAGGGGCATATATTGCTTGGCATGCACGCCAAAATCCTCACTGGAGTAATTACATGTAAATTTACTCTATCTAAAATTTAGGTCTTGTTTGGTTGGAGGGAATCATTATATTTCCGCGTACATGGTAATTAAAGATTGTTTTGTGAACTGTATCAGGATTTTGATGACTATCATCGTGCATCATCGACTTTCTCTGCTTTTTTCTTTCGGTCCTAATTATAAGACCCAGTTGACTTATTTGAGGAGATTAAAGAAGGAAGTTAAATTAGTTATTTGTAATAAATAAGTGTTGTTATTATTAAAATATCTTTGCTAATTAAGTGTATTAGCTAAAACTATTATTATTAGAAGGACTATTTTGAAAAAAAATGTATAAATATGAAAAACAAAATGGATTGGGGTCTTATAATTAGAACCAAACAAAAAGTCAAACGGGGTATTATATTAAGGAGCAGAGGTAGTATTATTTTGTATCTCTTGTACCTTCCTCTTTCCTTGCCCTGCGGTTTCACTCCTCAGAACTTCTGGTCGTAGAGATCAATTACCATAGTAAAACCGAGTGCTGTGGAAATTGGAGATTTACTTCATATAGCACTGGTAAGTGGTAACATCCAAGAATGATCTCGTAGGAGCTGCAAGTCGCTGAAAGTCTCGATTTCCACATGAATAGAATTAGCAGTCTCTTGGCGTTGAATTTAGAATCGATGGTCGTTGACTTGTCTCATCGATCAATTTTTCTCTATCCATACTGGTAATAATGGGAAAATGCACTACTGCCATCAGTGAGAATAATAGCAAGGCCATTATAAATTTAAGTAAGGAATGGCAAACATAATCATGGTTTCTCCATTAATTTCTCTTGATTATGGGTTAAGTGGCTTTTGCATTTGTAAAATTATAATAGATGTATAATAGTTGCACATCTTATGTTGTCTGTCTTTCTGATCCTGTTTCTTTTTTAATGCTAAGACTGACAAGGTTGGAGAAGATGAAGGAATCTATTGTTGGTATATTTCGCTGCATGCAGCGTTAGCTGACCCCTGCTTCGCACAAGGCGTTTATGGATTTTAAAGCAACATAACTTGTTGTACTTCCATTTTTATTGATCGTTTTGTTAACTTGCGGATATATTTGATTTGTTTCGAAGAGAATTAGACGTTAAATTATAATACCAAATCAATGAGATGCAAAAGTCTCAAAATCTTTTCCTTCTGTGTGTGTATATATATTTATCTGTAACCCTGTTCGAAGCATTTTAAACAGAGGAGATCAAGAGGCGGGAGAAAGAAACTGGAACAGAACATGAAAATATATGTTACAGGGCTAAACTAGTTCAGGTATGCTTTCAAGCGCTGGCTTCCACCCTTCGAAACCATCATCTTTCTTGTGACACTTGTCTTCATTCTCCGTCGCTTGCTCGCCGGGAAGTAGAGATAACATGTCGACCGTGTTGACTGAAATTCCTCCCTTATTAAGCAGAGCCTGCAGCTCTTGCTTGCTAATGACCACCTTAATTCTTACCACACTGCTACTGTCTTGAGAACCTTGTACCTCAGGCTCCGCAAACCTTACCTTCTTCTTACCGGCTTTTGGGGGCGGCGGTACGAGGTAGTATAAGTGGCCGGCGAGCAACTTGGTGTTGGGCTGAAGTTGGCGGAGGACTGGGACGGAATCTGATATCGCATGGCCGGAAAATTCCTTCAAAACTTGATGCGCTAGAATGGGTGACTTGTATTCAAGAATTTCGCCATCGGCCTTCATGACCCGGACGACGTTGTCTTGCAGAGCCAAGCAATTCCCCATGGATGATTTTATTTTAAGATCTCTGCATTTCGCTTTCCTGATGAGAAAAAAGTGAGCCGAGAATTATGCTGTATTTATAAGGAGTGGTTATGAAATATACCCTCCTAGTGCCCAGGATATTACAGAGCTACCCTTCGGTCTTTTAATGTAGCCGGGAGCCCGGGACAGTTGGCTGGGTTCATTGTTCATGCTCCTGTAGTCACGAAAGGAGTGTTACATTAGAAACGGTCCTGTGGTCATTGATCATGGATAAATTTTACAGGATAAATAAAAGGGTAAAGTAGAATATAGCAGTGTGATGTTCTTTTCTAATTAAATCTAGTTTCCTATATTATTTCTAGTGCACATATTATACTTTTTTTGTATTTTTAGTATCATAATTTTGTTTATGGTGCATCTCTGATGAAATTTTTTTTGTACTTCCGACATTTAAATCATAAATAAGATTAAAATGCTGGATATACCTGAAAATAATATCAAGTAGTGTTGGATGCACAAAAAATGATATTAAGATATATACTAAATGTATTATAAATAAAATTAGGACGTGAATACTAGAATAAGCTGATTAGGCTAGATAGGGGAGGAATTTAGTGAGATGGACATGGGGTCAAGAAAGCGGGAGTGGTACGGTTGACCACATTGGTGCAATCGCAGTAACAATTCTCCTCTGTTGAGTTGACTCAAATCGGAGAACAGGTTCACACCGACTGCATGTGGATGCATTTGCGCGTCTTCTACGCACTCACATCATGAGAGAATGTGGATCACAATTTGAAAGTAGCAACTTGCAAATTTTCCTTCTCCACTTTCCCCTCTTTTTTTGTGCCCCGTGAATCATCTCTTGAGACTTTTTCTCCTGTTAATCTCGTTGGATGTGCAGATAACAAAAGCAAAACGACAGCAATAAAACAAGCGCAAGCAACGTATCTGCTTTTGTCACAACTTCAACACGTGAGTTCTGCCTTTTCTCTGTCATAGGACCATCCATTGCTAACGCTGTATGTGTGTGTGTACACATCCCCGAAGGGTAGGATGGTAATACCAAAGCCAAAAGTGTTGGTATGTTTGATCTTTTAACGTTTTCCAATCATGGCGCCAAACCAAGGGAGATTTATCATTCTGGTTAATGGAGTCTTATCATTCTCTGTTTACAGATTAAAATGAAAAAGTGAATGCTAGACTAAGATTTAGCTGGCTTAAAGGAGTCTAATTTTTGAAACAAAGATGTTCAAGTAAAGCTTCTTTCTTTTTGTGCTGGAAAATAAAGTCTCTTTAAATTCGTCTGCTTTTTGTGCCTCATTCGTGCGGTGCAGATAGATTCTGATATGGAACTTTCAGCTAATAAAAATAAAAGGGTGTCCCTCTTGTCCTGCTTTTCTGAGAAAGTAAAGACAACTCGGGGCGTCATCCCATCATTTTTAATATGATATCAAGATCAAGATCATGGGTACGTGATTATTGATAGTTTTTGGATGTGTTTTTGCAGGAGATTCCATAGTTCCAGCCAGTTTGCAGCTAAATGAGACAGAGTGGCATTCAAAAAGCTAAAGACGATGACGACGACGACGACAACCAATATGTTGATGGGGTGCTTTCTCAAAACAAGAGATTAGTGGCGTGTGATGTGGTCAACACGCGTGCTTCTCATCATGAAACTTCTCGCAGGTTGCTCTCACATTTCTGCTTAGTGGAGTTAGGAAGTCGAACATTACCTCATTTCAAAAGGGGCAAAACTTGGGAAATTAACTTCATATAGAATCCTTTTGTCAAGATTATATGAAAATCAATATTAAATTATCCATTTTAAGTGAAAACTTTGTGAAACGAATTAACCAACAAAATCCTTGACCCAAAAAAAAAAGAAGGTTGAAGATAAAAGAAAATAGGTGAACCATATGTGGGGTTGAAAATAATGGAATTCTATTACAATTAATATCAATAAGTATCCAAATTACTTTGATTTACTAAAATGGGACAAATGAAAAATCAATTAAATATATAATGCCTTAAAAGCAAATATGGAAACTCATGATGTAATAATGGAAGTCCCATTGTGTTTGAGGCCCATTATGAAATGGTAATATATAACTCGAAGTGTGGAAAGGGTTGTTGAGGATGTAGATTCCCCCTCAAAAATTTGCTTAGCCAATAGTACATTACCGGCCTTACTGTTACCTCACACTCGCGCAACTTGGCTCCCAATTGTTGCATTACTTAAATATGCTATTTATCTACTCTTAAAAGTGGAACTTCATTATCACGACATGCCCAATTTGCGAAGCAGGCTTTGCTTTATCAAATACAATAGCCACTTAAACCAGTGAAAGTGTCTTTGACTGAAAGCAACCTCAGATATTTCTGCTTCTGATGAAAATATCATCAATATCGTCGTGGTCTGAGCAAAATAGGCCCACTTCCATATAACCACCGTTTGCCATTTGTTTAAAAAGCGTTATCGTTCAACAGATACATATAAGATCCTATCATTTTAGGTTTGTTTGGGGATAAAGAGCGCAGTGTATCTAATATCCAATATCTAGCAAAAGGATATTTGATTGTTGGTGACGATTCAACAAAGCAATAACCAATAGGATCGATGCAGGTCGACGGAGATGGTGCAAATAGTTATGTCAGCCTGACGAAGGCAAATCCTTGTTCACCATAAGACGATGAATGGCACACTTTCTTTCCTCTGTTTAGAATGATGACTATTTCGAATGAACCATTTCCAAGAATGTGATGATGTCGTAGCAGGATACAGAGTCAGATACCATTACAATTTACAACAACTATTTATTGCACATCTTGTCATTATAGCTTTGACATGAACTCCGGAACACGACGGTGTGTATCAGTAAGCAAATTAATTAAGATAAGCAATACAAATATGGACATACTCCTCTTTTTTGTTTTTTTTTTTGTTTTGGGGGCCGGGGGGGGGGGGAAGGAGGAATATGAGGTGTATCCTCTGGTGGATAAACTATCTAAATCTTTACGAATACCAAATACTGTTATAAACAGGAATTATAGCAAACTTATACGAGGGTAGGATATAGCGGAAAACTACATTGGACGCCCCGAACAGTAAACAGATTAAAGAAATAGGAGTTAGGCAGTGAAGCAAGTAGTAGAAGAGGATTTGTTTGTGGTCTGCATCATGGCTGGCTCCTTGCTTCTTCTTTTTTTTTTTTTTTCCCTTTTTGTGGTGTGTCTAACTCAAAGAAGGAAGATTGTGTGTGTTTTTGGATACGCACGCTATTATTAGACTGCAAGAAGGCAACAACTCAAAAGGAAGTTAATGAGAATGACCCAAAAAAAAAGTTACAACTTTCTCCCAGTTCACATCTTCCAAGTCAGAAAGACACTCTTTGCTTTGACACATACAAGAAACCAAACCATTTTGTCCTGCCTTTCCCCGCTCTCCTTTATGTTGCTTTCAGGTCCTCACATTTTCCTCTTCATGCTTGGCCGGCACCACAACAGTTGTTTTCAATCTTTTTGTACTCTTGCTGTTTTTCTCCTCTTCTACATTTCAACAAGATTTACATGTTCTTTTCTTTTTCTTTTTGTTTAGAATAAAGTATCGTCAAATAAAGAAACATTTAAAAAAACAAAAGAATGAATCTTGCATATTCTCTTAGTGCTGCTTTGTCAGCCACCATTTTGGGGGGAAATTTTGAGAGACACCTCATTATTTATTCAACCAAAGGTCCAAACTCCTCAAATGAATGAATGATTCATGCTGTATTGTTGATGTTAGCAGTTTAGCTGTGGGGTCTTCAATAAATGGATTATTCGAAGTGGAGGATTCAGCAGGTTACGCATTTAATTCAAAAAGTCTGGCTGAGAGTGATCACACTTGATTCAGTATCATTAGCATTTGACTAGAAAGTTTAAGTGAACTTAGAACTCATCACAGCCACACCGCATGAATATAATAAGCACCAAATTCCTACATAGGAAAAGGTCCTTTGCATATAACGAGAGCTGTAACGGTGTAAACAGTGGCCCAATATTTAATCCAAGAATATACCTGACGTGGTCTCCGATTCAAATCCTGACTTCCGAAAAAACATAATTTTGGCATCTATTATCAAAATCAATTCATGATGATCTTTTTCTATAAAATAAATACATACTTCCGATACGGCGACATCGTTTTGAAACACGGAAAAAAGTAATTTTTCTAGATTGAAAAATATTAATTACTACAACTACATAATAACATAACTCAAATACTGAATAGTGGTAATAAATTTAAAATCTTAAAACCAGTCATATTTTTTATTGAAAGAACTCAGAGAACCAGCTTTGAACAATGGGCCTAATTTTTCACCTTTTGAAGAGACTTGATAAGCCCGACCCAGTCCAAACCCGAACCGAGACTGAGTGTGACGTTTCAGTTTCGTTCACTGACCATTGTGTTTGCCAGTAAACCAACCGGTTACGACCTGTTGAGGCATAGAATCCTGAGTAATCCTAGATAACTGGACAGGCGCTGCGGCTAGTCTAGAGTTGTGTTGTATTGCTCTGTTGTTTCTACGAGCATGACAGAAACCGGGATTCTTTCCATGTGCTCTGTGCTTTGGTTTCAGGCTTTTCACTTTCATGCACAGCTACCTTCTGCTGATGACCTTCTCGTGGATTGAATCATATCAACATCCATGCGTTGAAAATAACTGCTCAACGGTGCTTCAAGCTCACATCACCGTCCTTATGTTTGGCCTCAAGTTCCCTCTTGAAGCTTCGCTGTATGAAAGTCAAATTTGAATTGCGCTGAGATTGGTTGAACATTAGAAATGAGAGGCGGTTTTGTGATTTTGTCGTAACGTAGGATGGAGCAACAGCCCTAAAGCCACAAGACAAGCAAACTTTTTTTTTTTTTAATTCCACATGCGCTTTTGATTTATTAGACCTTTCAAATATTTAACGTTTCTCTATAAACCTTTGCATTTACGTATTTTGGCCCATCCAAATATTTTATTCTAGAACTGCTTTGAGCTGATCACCCTGAGCAGCAACGACGTTCATCTTAAAAATGAAAGGAAATATGCAAAAATAAATAGCAATGTTGGTAGTGGGGGGAGTGGATGTGTCTAGCATGTTTTGGGACGCTAACTAATTTTAAAGGGTGTTTGGCAACCCTCAAAATCACTTTTGAAAATCACTTTTTTCAAAACGAGACGAATTCCTCCACGTATTTATTTCGTAAACTGTAAAAGTACTTTTGAAACCATAGTTTGGTTTTCATCCAAACACTCCCTTAGTCGTACAAGGAATAGGAATGATGTCTCTTTGTAGCCCATAAGCGTGCTTGACAAAATAATTTGGCACCCATGAATCCATTTTACAATACGACTTTCCATTCCACTGCTCAGAAATTCAAACCCCACGACTTGTTGCTGAGACTCCAGCGTCGTCTTTGCTGTGAATGGAAAACCCCCGGATCATGAAGGAACCTTTGACGTCTGTGTCATGCCCACCTTCTATAATTCATTTTTAACAAAAATCAAAAACAGGGGGGGAAATATTCTCCTTCTCTGGGAGTTATTCGATGAGCAATAAAACCGCAATTAAGCATTGGAGATTGAGTCCTTGCGTGAAATATCACTAGACCTCTGATTCAAGTTGTCTCAAGTTTGTAATAAGAATACGAACTACTTGGAGTTATGCTGTTTTTTCCCCTGCATTAATTTACATAACTTTATATTTTTATATTATTAGTAACATCCAACAGATAATAATGAAAGCTTTAAGAGAATTGTGTGAAGGCATAACTTCTTTTTTTTTTTAATGCATAGCTTATATCATTACAAGGTATTTTATAACTCTATCCTCGACCGTCGCTACTAGAAAAAGGAAACAAATAGAGGCAAGCACAGTATGAAGGGTGGTCCTTATCAATGAAACTGCCCACAGAAAATTTACAACTGCCCACTTCAAAAACACTCGTTTGTATTTACAAAACTTCATCGCAGAAACAGAGGGAGTAAAATAAGGAGCGCTGTTTGGTGTGGCCAGAGGAGGGAAAAAAAAAATGCAAATTGTAAGACAGTAGAAAGCTTAAAAATTCACCTTGTAGCGGGAAATGGAAAACAGTTTATACCGTTATTCAATGTGCCACGTCACTGCAATGACTGTTTAAAATGAGTTGGGCCCGCAAAATGAGTCGTGGCCCGCGCAATGCACCAACTTCTTGCGCCAGCTGGCCCACCCGTAGCGGTCGCCGGAGTAGTTACCGTGGCCAGTCATATGTGGCGTGGATTTCAGAACCACCCAATCCCCAAGACTCAGACCGCCTCCCTGACGCGAACCGCATCATCCCGCCCAAACCGGGGGGTTCACTCTCCGATGCACTCTTTCTTGGGATCCCCTCCGCCAACGATGCCTCTTGACCGCTTGCCGTCTTATCGCGCGACTCTGTGTTCTTGCTCTCGCTTCGCGGAGACAAATCCACCTGTTTAAGATCGGACTTCTGGACCGGATTGTCTTTGCGATTGGAGCGGAAGATAGCCCGGAAACGTTCCAAGAATCCATATTTTCGCTTCCCGCTCCAGGCCGGTTTTTCCTGCGCTGCGGCTGTTTCAGAGGAAGGCCTTTGGCGATTCCTAAACCTGCGGTTCCGATCCCTCTTGGATTTCACTCTTCCCATACAGGACACCTTGGGCGACGACGGTTCGATCACCGCTGATTCCGATTTTCCAACCGATGCACTCCGTTTCGGAAACAATCTTACGTTGCCCGGCTTGTGGCTTCGGCGGTTCTTGGCGTCCACGTATAAAGACGTTTTCTGAGGCTTAGGCAATCCAATGATGGAAGCCTTGGACGCAAAACTGGAAGAGAAGCGCTGAGAATTGGAGTTGGGATTGGGGTTCAAGTTGGTGGAATTGGAGTTGCCCTTGGTGGATTCCTTCCGCTCATAGACAGCGTTCCGGTCCCACCAGTCGTACTCCTCATCTCTGGACAGCCAGATTGCTTCGGGCGGCGAATCAGGGTTGCGCTGAGGCTGATCAGCTTCGCAGGAGGGGTCATCGTGGTCGGCGAGTGTCTCACAGGCGATCTTGCGGTCGCAGCTGGATCCACCAGCGCATGCTGAAACGAGTGTTTCTAAATCCACCTGTGGCATCGTAGTTTGGGAACACCAGGATGGAAAGCGGGGAATCCGGAAAGAAGCAGAGAAGGAAAAATATCCGAGAGCGGTATGCGTAAGTAAGTAGTAAGAGGGGGAGTTGATTGCGAAGGGGAAGACTTGGGAATGCGTGAGTGAGAGGAGGGGAGAGAGATATATCGTAATTTGGAGGGAGGAATTTCAACTGGTTTGACTTGTGCTTTCCCGGTGGTTTTGTTTCTTCTGATTTCCCATCCATCCTCTCCCACGCTCTGATTCGGATTCTAGAATGTATAAAAGTAACTCGCTCCGTTTTTTATTATAAGAGACAAATAACCGAAGTACGTTGATCAAAAAAACAGTTAAAATTAGTTAAGAACAATTAATGTGTAAAAAGTATAATTTTTTTCCAAAAATGCCTTCATTAATAAGGAGAGAGAGTATGAGAGAGAACAATTAAATTATTAAAAGAAAGAGAAGTGGGAGGGAGAGAGAGTGTGAGTTGGAGATAATAAATATGGGTAAAATAGTAAATGAACACAAAAAAGTAGAGATAACTTGTAAGTGTCTCTTATATATAAGAACATACCATAAGCATCAAATGTCTCTTATAATAAAGAACGGACGGAGTAATTCTTAAACAAATAGTGTGCCACCATTATTAATCAGAATAGTTCTCTTGTTTCTTGAGGGACACAAGAGAAAAGTTCTGTTCTTGTTTTTCTTCACACGAAGTGACAGCCAACAGCAAAACGCATAGCATGTGTTACCCAGCACAGTGCGCACGGACCTCAACCCCACAAGTTGCAAAATTCAACCTACTTATTTTTTCAAACCAAAAAAGAAAATGTTATTCTCATTTAATATCGTTGGATGACAATCTAATAGTTTCATATTCCTTAATTGAGAACGGCTCGCCAATTGAGAGAGATCTTAGTCCCACCAACACTAGTTTATACGGGTCCTTGATTTGCCCTAACAGTGGGGAAGTTTGCTTCAAACTTGTAATGGTAATCTACCACCACGTAGCATTCTCTCGGTCTATTGCTTCAATAAGTGTTCTGACTGTCTTCGTCGTGGCATAAGGCCAGCGTTTGGCTCTTGCCTGCCCTCGTTAGAGAAATTAATGCCTCAGCTTACGCTACGTACCATTAAGCCAAGGCCTGTGGTGATTAGTACGGCTATGTGTAATCTACCTGGGGAGCCTTAAAATAAGCAGGTCTGTGACTCCAGAATTGAACAAGTTACTGTTATAATTACGATTTTGTGAAATTATCTGGTCAGAGTCAACGTCACGAGGTTCTATTGCTTTACCTTGTAGGCAAGCATATTTCTCTCGCCTTTGAAAACAAGGGCTTAATTCTATCCAGACAACCAAGACGTTTGACAATTATGTGTTCCCGTTCAACATTGAGTTCCAATTTATTCTTTAACATGTTCTATTTTTATTTCTTTGACCGCTATGTATTTAAAAATAAAATATGCACGAGAACAACCTTCTCCGATGGACTCGTGGTATATGGTTCGCTTTTCCCTGATTTGATAAATACTACAGCTTCGAAAACATGAAAAATATAACAACTTGTTGGAATAATAAGAAAATAATGAAAAAGCAAACGAAACAAGAGAGAATAAGAAAGATTATTATGGGGAGTTATATATAATTTAATTTGTTTTAATAGAGGTTCTGATTCTTGATATAAGATCTGATTTATAACTCAGAACTATAAACCAGATCTTATATTAAAAATGAGAGGTAATAGATAATTTAAAACCATCCAAATTAGAGGAAATGTTATTGTTGCACCTTATTTCTTATCGCTCTTCTACTTCTATTTCATAGCTTTTTTTCTTGGGTGGGGCTGGGGAAGATCTTCATATATACTAGTTTGAGGAGATTAAAAAAATAAGTTAAGTTAGTTTTTTTGTAATAAATAAGTGTTGCCTTTCCTATAATATCCTTACTAATCAAGTGCATTGGCTAAAACTACCATTGTTAGAAGGATAACTAAAATAGATTTGGGTTTTATATTCAGGATCAAGATAAAAGTCAAATAAAATCTTATATTAATCACTAGAGGTAGTACTAACTATTGGAGTAGCCAGTTGACTGTGTGAGTTTGTTCAACATTGATTTTGTTGGTTTAGATCTTTGAACTCCTATTCAAAAGCTTGGAGTTCAATTCTGTCAGTCCAAACTGACCTTAAACATCACGGCATGGGATGAATTCCATAAGCTTGAACATAAAGAGAATTCTAATGCCGGGGTGGCATAATATTAGTTATGCCATAATTAGTGCGTAATCCATCCCGCTAGCTTGCTAATTAATGAATATTATTATGAAATGCTTGTGGGAACCCAAAAAATTAATGATTATGAAAATGTTTTTCTATTTAAGTTTGTCCGTTGCGTAAACGATGTGATCAACGTAATTATACATATACAAACCCTGCAAAACCAACGTACGTCACCCACCACATGAAAATCTTCTTTGATTCAACCGTCAAAGCAATATACTTTTTCCTATTTTAAATATCAGATTTATTTAAAGATTTTGATTCCATCCCAAATATAAAACCTCATTCACCCTTATTTTTTTTATATTAAATTTTTCCTTTCTCATATCCGTCTATCTATTAAGCCATTTTTATGTATTAAACTTGGTTTGTAGTTTAAATTAAACTATAAATTAGATTTTATCTTAAGAAAAATCATCCTTTTTTTTTATTTGTATAGGAGAGATCGAAACATAATGGCTACTAAAAGATTGCTTTAGTTTATTAGAAATATCAGAGGCAGCATGTTATATTCGCGGACTACGTATCCCCAGAATTTTTTTTTTGGGGTGGTGGCAAAAAAAAAAAGTCTTATTTTTGGGGTCCAAATGCGATGTATAATCACTGAGGGGAAAAAAATGAGGAAAATCTGTGTCCATGTTTTCTGTATTTATGCGATGGCGAATGTTTAAAAGAAGCCATGGGGGTTTAATGCAAATGCTACCAAAGTAATTAGGCAAAAGCATGTGTTATGTGTCATAATGAGGCCTATAATTTGGAGACATCCGGCGCACTCACCGAATTATTGCTCATAATTATTACAATAACAGACATCATATTTCCAGCTTCAGACACACATGACAGTGCACAGAATTACATAAACGCAAGCCTTGTTTTTGTTCTTTCTCCTAATGATTATCTCAATTTGTGTAGGAAATTATATTTTGACTTTTGTTATCAGTGATTTAAATGCTGACTCTAGGTAGTAATGGGGAAAATATGTAACGAAACAGTGTTTTTTACTACTCTCATTCCTATACATAAGCTTCAAATTTTAACATACTTGTAATCTATTTTATAAACTTTAATTTAGGTTTGTTTTAATATTTAATATATTTTTTCAAGGTTATCCTTAATTATTTATTCTCTATCTTTTGTTATACTCTCTCTCATCGTATTTCCCTATATATTATCTTTCATTCCTTTTTTCATTTATTTAAAAAACATATTTAAAAATAAGATTATATTTTTAACTTATTTATTAGTTTTAACTAATTATTTATTATTCATAAATTATTTATTTAAAAGCTTGTATACAGGAACAGAGTAATTATCATGTTGCATAATCTAGACAACACTTTCAACGGAATATACATAGTGAATAGAGCAGGTAAGCGAAATTTCAGCCGACGTACTATAATTCTCGGAAAATCCAATTTAACTAACTCACTCGGCTAGTTTGAAGTTAACTAGCTCGAAGATAACTTCAATAGCTGGCCAAAAAATGGAGATGACTTCAAGATTAATGCTTGCCACGATTATTGATTAAATAGTTTAATGAAATAATAATCTGAATTATCGTTCTTTGAGATCAAACAAGTTAGAATCGAAGTTGTATTTGCTTGCTGCAGGGTACGTAATCCCCGATAACGGGCCTGGATTTTCGCTTTATTTATTTCATCAGATGATGTTTTGCCCCAAAATTATAATTAAATGAATTATTGAGCAGCCTAATAAGCGATGACATCTAGAATAATCCACCGCGGCCACACACAGCTGAATTTGTTTCCAGAAGCTTAAGCAAGGAACGAGTTAGTTAGGAGAGTGATAGCGTGTTTCTCTATTTAATTAGTTTTCTGGAGAAGACGAAGAGCCGGAAGAATCGGGGGAGTGGTTGGGGTCAAAATCCGCCTGGACTAACACCCTTCTTAATTTTTCATGATCTAATGTGAGTAAGTACTCGTATTTAAGTTTATAGTTTTTTGAAATAAAAAAAGTATAAAACATTTTTAAAACAATTCAGAGATACTCGTGCGTGTTGCATTGCCGTGAGATTCACAATCTTATTTTTGAATATTTTTATATACGTGAAGAGAATGAGAAGCGGAACGGCAGATCGATGAAAGGGCGCCGCCACGAGAATAAAGGGAAAAGGTGGGAGGTGGGAGCGGCGAGGGCAGGGGAAGAAGCTTCCGCTGATTCTAGAAATTCATAAATGATGAGCTTCTAGAAGCGTGTGTTGAGCCTGCCCATACTTGCCTTCACAAAACAAAATTGAATTGAATTAAGATTGGGTGTTTGAAAACTATCAAAAGCACCTTAAAACACCTCAACTCCATAAAATTACTTTCGAAAAATTACCCAAAATGCCCACTTCACGTCATGAGACTACTCCCTCTAGTCCCAAGTTTTATGGCGACCATGGTAAGCAATGGGCCAACAGTGTTAGGGAAAAATGATTGTGGGCTCATTCTCTTCTCACTATCTTCATCCCATGTCTTGAATTATTCCCTAGAGATACACACCCACACACACACAGTTCATGAGAAACTTGTGTAAACAAAAACGAACAAACATGTTTTTGGTGATTTTATTAAGATTTGATGCATTTTTTATATACTGTACAGAGTTCGATGAAAGTCATAAACTCGTAAATTTTAAATAATAAACATTTTGCTTTATTCTAATTTTAAGAATGGTTTAATGAGAAATTGATAATAACATGTAAAATTTATAAACATTAAAACTAAACTACTCTGGGGCAAACAAGGCAGGCCTGAATAGTTGGCGTTACGACCCAAGTGAAGAACAGATGGCGGAATGGTCTCCGTGGGCCGTGCCTCGGATGAAGCCTCCGCCCATTTATATGGGCCCACTCACATCGTCACACGTGCCGCCGCCGCCAGTTACTTCTTCTTCATATGCCTCTGTTTTGTCGGCGCTTACTGCTTCACAATTCACATGCCTTCTGACACTATTTCTCTACTCTCTCACTTGGTCTTCGTCGGGGTTCATACCTCTTGGGGCGTTTATGCTCGAGAAGCAACTTCGCTCAGTGAATTATGTTGCGGAAAAGGAGGAGAACGACGATGAAATCGTAAGTTGACCATGAATCTCGCATTATATATTGTTTGAATTAGGGATCATTGAGGGCGCACCCTTTACTTTCCCTCTTTATGTCTTGCTACTGTGTCTGAATTTTAAGGAAACTAGTTTGTTTCATATTGGTTGTTTATGTCTTGTGACTGTAAATGGTATAGGGTTTTCTTGCTGATATCATGCTCAGCTTGGGGAAATTTCGACTGAAGAATGAGTAGCTTTAATTTGGTGTATTGAGAATTGGACTGCCATTATCATGTCTTGTGTCTCTAATTATCCACTGCTGTGGTGCCTTTCTCCACGATATTGAGAAGGACGGCTTTGGCTCCGAGTGGGTACCGCGCGTTCTTCAATAAATCTCCTTTTAGTTCACTAATGCTTAGTTTAATTGCAGATTCCGTATATATTGCTGATGATTGGCCAGGACCGATTCTAATATCAGTCAATTCTCTAGATTTGTTTAATTTTCCTGTAGACACATGGAACCGGCTGTGGCTGCGTTCCTGATGGTGGTAGTATTGTTTACCCAACATGACCGGTTCTGATAAGTGATAGAATGCAATTTGTTCAGATATCTAGGCCTTTTTTCCTTCATTGTTCTTTTCCCTGTTTAGTTTTCCATATATCTTGCTTGGGATTAATTTCTGTGTTGAGTCATACAGTTATTATTTATTGTTATCTCAAATATCTTAATTTAAACTCACAACTAGTAAATTTTTTTTAATTAGGTTGACTGGTACAGTCTCGAACAACGGAAGAACAGCAATTAAGGTGAAAAATAAAGCTTTGGAGCTGCAGACCTGGTCTGATCTTCCTGACGAGCTCTTAGAATTGATTTTGTCCCGTTTGACCTTAGCAGACAATGTTCGCGCTTCTGCTGTTTGCAAGAGATGGCACGCTTCTGCCTCTGCAGTACGTGTTGTAAACCAATCACCATGGCTTATGTGCATTCCGAAATTCGGAAGCTGGTGCGAATTCTATGACCCCGTGCACCGCAAGACCTATTCCTGGGAGTTTACAGAGTTAACTGGCTCCAGACTGTGTTATGCAAAAGATGGTTGGTTGCTGCTATACCGGTACAGATCCCACCGTGTGTTCTTCTTCAATCCTTTTACTCGGGAGGTGATTAAATTGCCTAGATATGAGATGACATGCCAGATAATTGCCTTCTCTTGTGCTCCTACATCTCCCGGCTGTGTTCTGTTTGCTGTTGATCATGTTACTCCCCTTTTTGTGGTTATTAGCACATGTCATCTTGGAGACTCGGAATGGACGACTCTGAGCTACCGAAACCGCTTGCCCTTTGTCAGTAGTAGCATTTGGAATAAGGTTGTATTTTTTAATGGGCTGTTTTACTGTCTGAGTCTCACAGGATGGATAGGGGTTTTTGACCCAGTTAAACGTGTGTGGAATGTTCTAGCGGTGCCTCCACCCAAATGCCCAGAAAACGTTTTGGCTAAGAATTGGCGTGAGGGAAAATTCATGACAGAGCATGAAGGAGATATATTAGTAATTTATGCGTGTTCCAGTGAAAAGCTCATTATTTTTAAGTTAGATCAGATAAAGATGGAATGGGAAAAGATGGATACACTCGAGGGAGCAACAGTTTTTGCTAGTTTCTTGTCATCCCATTCAAAGACTGACATGCCTGGAATAATGAGAAACAGTGTGTACTTCCCTAAAGTTCGATTTTATGGAAAGCGTTGCATATCATACTCATTTGACGACTGTAGATACTATCCTCGCAAGCAGTGTCATGACTGGGGAGGGCAAAAACCTTTTGAGAATATATGGATTGAACCACCAAAGAACTTTTCAGGCTTCTTGGATGAGTCTTAGCAAAACAAGTAAGCTTGTGCAAGATCAGTAATTTATGAAGTTATTTTTCAGTATTATGTAAGCATACATTGTAAACATACTGGATGTATGTTTGATATATCTGTAAGTCGTGAATTCAAAACGTTACCTTTAGAACCCAAAAAAAAAAAAAAAAAAAAATCAAAACGTTGCCTAGAAATACTGTATCCGCTGCGTCTGAGTATTGCGACTGCAGTTATTTATCGCAAATACGCGAGTCATTCCTTGACAATAACGAAACAACTTCTTCCCGTGTTATGTCCCCATTGAAACCAATATCGAGATATCATGCCATGTAGCACGCAACATGCATTCGGCTTGAATAATTGTAATTAAATGCTGATATAATGTCATGAAATGAATTGGTATAGTCATATGTCTTCGCTCACACGTTACCAGGAGCAATGGCTCATTAATCCAGAGGAAGGGCAGTTGTGAAAATATCCAGAAGTAAAACTATGATGATATGAAGCTTGCGTAACAAACTGTTTGTATCTTGCACTTCCCTCGTATTCCACGGTACACTGGTCATCATCCCCCTTCCTTTAGCTGAAAGTTTAAGTTTAGGGAAGAAGGTTTACAGTCATAAACACTCCGTTGCCAGCCTATTTTATATCGACATGGAACAAATCAATCTCAAAAGTCGTATCAGAATCTCTTTCAACACAAGATTGCATGTCCATCGTCCAGCGCTGCCTCAATCGCTACAACAGGGCTTGCACATGTTACTAGATGGAATCTCAACAAATGCTCATCTAACCTTCTTTTTTTTTTTTTTAAATAAAATGATATGTCATTTCTTTCTTTTCTTTTTCGGGGGGCCACCGATGATATATTCTTTCTTTGTCAACTAATATTGTCTTTCCCTTTTACACTTGTTTTATAAAATCGATAAAATCCCATAGTCTGTATCTGCATGTATTTATTTCGCAACATATCTAGCGAAGGAGACATCAGTCCTGGGGCCTCCTTGAAACATGACGAACACAACACGTATGTGAAAAAACGGAAAATAAGCTCACGCTACTATAATCTATGATAATATGTACCAAAATAACCGAAACCAACTTCAACAGCGTAGCTACCGTACACTGTCCCTAACTCTAATGTCTCCCCTCTTTGATGTTTTGCAAAAGATACAGAAGGCCTCGCAGCATCAGGCAAGCTTATCTTACCTCACAGGAATAAGTGCTTGAATTCTCCATTTGCAAGATGACAAAGCTTATTGCAACTAAAGGTATCTGCAAACAGACCCAAATAGAACCTTTTTTCGATAAGAAGAACAAGGAAAATTTTTAAGCTGAGAAAAGAACACAACAAAATGCACAATTGCTCGTACATATGCTCAAAAGAGGGGATTTAGTTCTCGACTATATATATCTATATATTCACTCATAGTTTCCAATTATGAGTAAAACAACATGGAGATGTTTTAATCCTATGACAAAACCTCACTTGGGCAAATGCTTACGTGGGTCTGCATCAACAGAATCAATGAATCATGGTAAATTAATCCCCACCAACTGCTTCCAAACATAGTATTTGAAAATGTTAAGGTGCAGATGACTGACTACACCAGACATGGCTTGCTAAGGCCCGAAGTTACTGTGTACATTAACTTGCAAAATGATCAGGGAACTTGCAATCCCACCTAATATCTGAAATTTATAAGATCACCAGCCAATCCTGTACTATCATTTTACTCCCAGTAGTAACCCTCCACAAAAGCCAAACCCTTTCAAGCTTCATTTGAACATGAGTAATCTTCTTTTCCACCACTTAAATATCTAAAAAGGTTATTGATGGGCCAAGCAGAAACAAACTTGCAGTTCATGAATGAAATGAAAGGGGAGAAAAAAGTAATGTAAACATCTTTTGTGCCATTTGATAAAGGATAAAAAGAGATAATTATTATTAAATAATAATATAGATATAGTACATATTATATATTTCAGTTTTTGTGTTGAAAAAAGAGATTACCTTTCCCATGTGCTTACCAAACAGGGGTGTTAATCTAGTTCACAGGGTTTTTTCTTTTTGTTAATTCTTCCATCAAGGTTGATTTACTATGGTCTGAGCTTCTTCTGGTCCTAAGTTAACTAAGTAAAAGACAACAATGCCATTGATATTCCAACAACCGATGTCAACTTGTCAATAACCAATGAATGCAATAAAATCAATAATGTGTTGTACACTTCATAAACTAAACTTATTCTTTAAATTCCATACAAACTGCCAAGGAAAAGGCATGAGAAAACACGTCTAATATTACAGCAAAAGTGTAGAATAGTCGTGGGAAGAAAATAGTACCAATTGAATCACCAAAGTTGGTCCATATCTCAGCACGAATGGATCTATCACTGTCAGCTATGCCAATAACTTCAACAAAATTCGCAAGAGCACCTGGGTGCACGCCCCTCACGACTATCTGCTTCTCATCAGTTAATTTTCCAATTATGCCTCCAGCATCAGATCGAACAACTTGCACAACAGCCCTTACCCTCCGTCCAACATATAACCGTAGCAGCTCTCCATTGACAAAGACTGCAGGATTTGAAGTATCCATATTCTACAGAAGACACGACAAAAATGCATTGTTTTACTGATGACAAGAATTCACAAATGTTTATTTTAACGCTGTTTCTGTGCTGTAGATATGTAAAGAGATCACATTTTGTCATGAAATTTAGCTGGTTCCAGATGCAAGGCCATAACTTAGAGCCATAATATTTAGGGTATGGACACTCACTCTGGAACATCCTTTGCAAGAACGGCGGATGATTTGTTCATTGTTTTCATTTACTCACAAGGCAAATCGTGATGAAATGGCTCTCAATTGTTTTTTTTTTTTTTTAAATTTTATTCAAACGATGTGCACGATCAGTAGAGCACAATAGAGAGCAAAATGACAGCATATAGACATTGTTAAGGGCATTCATAACTGACGATTCTCTCCATGGAGCCTCCGAACCCGAAGTTTCTTTCAGAAACCCAAAAAATCTTCAACCATTAGGAATATTCAATAGGAAGTCTAAGACCGAAAACACCCAAGTAATAATTTCCAGGCCTAAGAATATTACTTGACTACAGTGAACTCAAAAGAATTGCTAGTTCCATCCTTCAAGTTCAATTCAAGACTCTGAATCGACGCCGATACGAAATCTCATTAAAATTCCCAGTCATCCGACAGGATCATATACTCGAAAGGACTAGGTGACGCACTCCTTTCGATTGAGAAGAAACTAAAGCTGTAAAGCAATGAAAAGTCCAGGGAAATGGAAATGAAGGTCCAAAAGAGCAGCTATATTATATCCCTTTTGAATTCGAATGTAACAGCAAATCCACAAATGTTACGTAATCACAAAGACACGACCACAATACTGTTCATCAACTGCATCAAGAGCAAAAGAGAACGCCTCTGGAGATGAGGCATTTTATAGCTATAACCATGAAACTCGAGAAAATCCCCCAAGAAAACGTGTAAGAGACACGAACTGGGCACCCATTTTCGCAAAACGGATGGAGAAATGCGAAGAAAATTGATTATAGAGACGGAAATAGACATAAAATAGCGTTTATTCGCCCATCAAGTGACAGGAAATGCATCGAAGACGAAGTAGAATTGTTCTTACTTGATTCAGAAGCAAATCGCTGTGAAGCAGAGCGCCAAGCCAGAGGGAATAAGCTTCGTGTCAGTGTTAAATACTACTCCTCCCGTCGTAGGACGAGTTGGTTTTGGTCCTAAATATAAGACTCATTTATCATATTTATCAATTTTCTCTAAATTATCTCTATGGATACTCCTTCAACCATAATCAAGTAGAAGAGGGAGATAGGGTATTAAGAAAGATGATTATGGTATTTTAAAAAAAACGTGTCATATTTCTTATAATTAACTAACTTACTTAACTTCCTTAATCTAATCAAATTATTAAATGAATCCTATATTAAGGACGGAGGAGTATTTAGGGAGGGAGGGCGGGTTCTTGAATCCTGAAAGCGGGCATGCCCAAGCCCAGACTCTGAAATTGACGTAGTACGTACTAGTCAAGTCACTTTCAACATCATTCAGTAATTTTATTATGAAATTTAAATTTAATAACTTTTAATTTTAATTTCATTTTAATATATATTTTGCTCAACATAATAATAATTAATAAATAAATAATAAAATTATATACTCATCTAGTCTTTAATATAGGACTTAATTGTTGAGTTGGTTTTGGTTTTAAATATAAGACTTATTTATCAATTTTCTCTAAATTATCCCTATAGATACTTCCTTAATCATAATTAAGTAGAAAAGAAAGGGCGTATTAAGAAATATGATTATGATGTTTTAGGAAAAACGTGTCATATTTTTTATAATTAACTAACTTACCTAACTTTTTTAATCTAATCAAATTAGTTAAATAAGTCTTATATTAAGGATCGGAAAAGTATTTATATGAACAAATTTCTTTCCCTTTTATAAATATAATAAGAGGAGTATCATTCCAAATTTAATATTACTTATATCCTCCCCTATCAATTTTATAAGTCATAAATTTTAAATAAGCCTCTTTTTTACTCTTTTTTTTTTTCAATTTCAACTCAAATTAATAATACACCTTTATATTAATTACTTTTGTTAATGTAAAAGTTAGATAACTGATTTGTTAATATTAAAAAAATTAATTAAGTTAGTTATTTATAATAAATTAATATTATTTTTTAAAAATAATTTTATTAATCATGTTTATTAAAAATATTTATGAATAAGAACTCCTTAACATCTTCGAAAAGCATGAGCATTTGGAACCCACTTTCAGGCCGGGAATATTCTCGCAGGAGTAGCCCGCTTGCGTGAGGCGCGAGCATTTCCGTCTCGTTTTCACAAATACCTGAAATTGAACGTCCCAACCACCAACTCCAGCGGAAGCATCGCGCCCTTCTTTCTTCTGCACGCAGAGGGATGTCCTCGGTTCTCAGAAAACCATCGCTAAGTGCATCCCCATTCCATTCTTCAACCCACAGCCTAAAACTGAGGCCCATATCCCCCCTTTTCCCTATTCAGCGATTCTATAGACTACCCCAATTTCGAGTTTCCCTTACAACCCAGAACTCCAGCAATCGTCCTTCCATTATTCCTTCAAAGGGCAAAGTTTCCAGTACTTCCTCACTTTCTCAAACTCTTCACTTCTTCAAACCCTGGCTTCTGTCTGAGCATAAAACCGTTCTCTTGGGCTGGCTCTGCAGCGTCATATCTGTTTACTCCCTCTCCAAAATCCTTTCTAAAGTCGGGAATGTTTCTGCTACTATCAGCAGCATTGACGCTATCAAGTTGCGAGACGAAGGTTTAGTATTGGGGGGTTTGTTGATTGCCCGGTTGTTTGCAAGTTTTGGGCAGCAAGCTTTTTTATGGGAAGCTGCACTGAACGCGGTATATAAGCTTAGGGTTCACGTTTTCGACAGGATTTTGGAGAGAGAATTGGGATATTTTGAAGGCATGGATGGTGTTTCGTCCGGGGACATTGCGTTTCGGATCACTGCGGAAGCTTCGGATATTGCTGATACTTTGTATGCTCTGCTCAGTGTGGGTAACTGTCTCTTCTGAAGATCTCTTTCGACTTTCAAATATCCTTGTTGCTCGAAATCACGAGTTATCAAGATTCTTCAGAACTTTTTTACCGTCAAACAGGACCCATTAGTAGTCATACCCATTCCTTCTAATTTAAAGTTCGCCAATGTGTCAATGACTGGGCCATAATATCTCTTTTCTGGTCGTGGAAGAATTCTCGTCCATGCTAGCATCTGCAGCTTATTTTATTGCATTCGCCTTTTCTTCTGTATTCGCTAATGATAAGCTCTTGTTTGTCGTAGACCATAATTCCCAGCACTCTGCAGCTATCTGCTATGATGATGCGAATGTTGGCGATCAGTCCTGCCCTTTCTTTGATTTCAGCTGTGGTGAGTTAGGAGCCATTCTGTTGGTTCATATAACTTGACTGGCGGCGGAAATCTTGTTTTTCATTGGTGAGGGTAAATTTAATCTTGGTAATTTGTTTTCAAATTGAAGGTTATTCCTTGTATGGGACTTGTTGTTGCGTTTCTTGGTCAGAAACTTCGTTCAATATCTAAAAGGGCACATCTTAGCATTGCCACTCTCTCGGCATATCTAAATGAGGTAGATTTAAGTGACTGTTCATCTTCATTTTACTATCAGACAAATTTTAATATTATCTCTTGTTTGCAAATCCTATCGTTCCATTTGAATATATTATGAAGTGGCACCTCAATACAAAGCCATAGTTATTTCTTGTTAGCTGATATCTCAATGTTGCCTCAGGTCCTTCCTGCAATTCTTTTTGTGAAAGCAAACAATGCAGATATGTATGAGAGCAGCAGGTTTAAGAGGCTGGCTAGGATCGACTTTTTTGAACGCTTGAACAAGAAGAGGATGAAGGCAGTTATTCCTCAGATTATACAAGCTATTTATTTCGGAGTGCTATTTGTACTTTGTGCGGGTTCAATAGTGGTTTCAAGAGGATCATTCAATGGCTGTAACTTAGTGTCGTTTGTGACATCATTGCTCTTTTTGATTGAACCGATCCAGGTAGCGTTATCTATTGAGACCTAGTTGCCTTTTCCCTCTATCTTGTTTGTTTGCTCCGACTATCTGTTTTTTTCCTTTCTCTTCCATAGATTTAGAATTTATTTTTTCTGGTTCTAGAATAAAATTTTAGTTGAAATTAGACATTAATGTGATTATTATGATCATTTGCATATCTTATCATTAAATTTCGTTTGCAACCTCATTTATTTTCCTTTTTAAAGGTCGTAATTAGTTTAATAACATTTTTCTCTGTTTACCTTTTTTTCGGCTAATTATTATTTGCATTTCTATCATGGTTCAGCCTTTGAGGAGCTGTCTTATGTTATCATTCTGAAAATAAAGAATCACGCAGGATGTGGGAAAAGCATACAATGAATTGAGGCAGGGAGAACCAGCTATTGAACGCTTGTTTGATCTGACCAGGTTCGCAGATAAGGTACCTTTACGATATCTAACCATGACACTTATAACTTTGAAACGGCATTCTTCTGAAAGTTGATTATGGTCTTGATAATGAAAAAGAGGGTTTCTTCTCGAGCAAAAGATGACTTCTGTGATTTAATTTTTAGTTAGGGTAATCCCTTTCACTTTGGTACTAAATGCGTTTATTCTGCATTATAGGTGGCTGAGAAACCAGATGCTGTTGATTTAGACTCTGTTAGAGGGGAGATAAAGTTTTGTAATGTCTCATTTAAGTACAGTGAAGACATGTCACTCGTTCTGAATGGACTGAATCTTCACATTGGAGCTGGAGAGATAGTTGCTCTTGTTGGTCCCTCTGGTGGAGGGAAAACTACACTTATAAAACTTCTGCTTCGTCTTTATGATCCAGTATCTGGTTAGTCATTTGAAGACATATGCTTATTTATATTTATATTTCTACTAAAGCATGCATTAGCTATATACGTCCATGTGGGCTCAAAATTTTTGTTATACGTACCTAAAGATTTTACAATCATTAGTTATTATTTTGTTCAATGACATTTGGTTGTATTTTCATGCTTGCAGGCTGTATACTTGTTGATAATCATAACATCCAAAGCATTCGGTTGCAAAGTTTGAGAAGGCATGTTAGTCTTGTTTCTCAGGATATAGTAAGTAACGCAAGTTCTTATATTCATTTACTGTATGTTCCTCTTTTTAACTTCTTTTGGTAAGAGTATGCTGAACCGTTATTTACACTATCACTTGTCCAACTATTTTTAAGAAGCTTTAGCTTATCATTTCCTTTCCTAGAATATTTATTAGCTGACCTTTTGGTGAGTGTTTATTATCAGTGCTTTCTTTTTTAAATTTAATTCATTTTAACTTTTCCAGTCACGTTGCTGGCAGGAATTAAGTTTTGGATCTAGTGGTAGCTCCACTGTGATTTTTTATAAATCAGTAATGTCATGTTAATTTCTTATAAATGTTAATTCTTTACTACCTCACCTAGTGGGATGAGGTTTGTTGTTATTGTTGTTATTTCTTTACTAGTTCATAGCTGACATTTGAGTGGCAGTGTTTCTTATGCTTTTCTCCATAATGCATGTATATGCTTTAGACACTTTTTTCAGGTTCAGTTGCTGAAAACATTGGTTACAAGGATCTGACAGCAGAAATTGACATGGAGAGGGTAAAACATGCAGCACAAACTGCTTATGCTGATGAATTTATAAGAGAACTTCCAGAAGGATATAATACCAATATTGGACCAAGGGGCTCAACTTTAAGTGGAGGACAAAGGCAAAGGTTTACTTTGAATTCTATTATGTTCCATTTTCAAACACTAACTCCTGTCTCTTCTTCTTCAAAGGTTTCTGATTAACACTGATTGAATATGTTGGCTGTTTGTGAAACTTCAGCGCTGACTTATTACCAAGTTAACTGAAATTTGCAGGCTAGCCATTGCCAGGGCTCTATATCAGAATTCTTCTATATTAATACTGGATGAGGCAACTTCTGCTTTAGATAGCAAATCTGAGGAGTTGGTGAGACAAGCTGTAAAGCGATTGATGAAAAATCACACTGTAAGAAAACCCCTTTCTGTCTGATCTGATGATTTCTTGGGAATGCTGACAAAGACATGGGCTCTAGCCTTTGTGCATGGTTTTGTTTCTTGAGGATTTTGTTAGATAGGATGTATTTTTTTAAATCATCAGGATTGCTTTACCAAGACCTTGACTACTATTTCTAGTTTGGGTGGATATTTTTAGTTTAAAATTTTGCACTCCGTTGGTGATTTCTCGCTCTGAATGAAGATTCAACTATTTAGTGTTTTTTTTTTTTAATTTGGCCAACCCAAGTATTTAGTATTTGAGCTATTATTTCCTTCTATGTTAATAGGTGCTGATAATTGCCCATCGCATGGAAACGGTTCGGATGGCTAAACGAGTATTCCTCTTGGATAGGGGGAAGCTAGAAGAGTTGCCTCGTTCGACTATATTGGGTGGTCACAAGGACTCGTTGTTATCATCTGGAGTGGTGATTTAAATATTTCTTGTACAGGAGACCCCTTCACATCCCAGTCTGTTGTTTAATATCACTGGAATCCCTCCCACTCCCTCCTTTCTTTATATCTAGAGAAAGCGGATCAGCGGGGAGTATGTACATTCTTAGTTATCCACATATTTATTTCCAATAAAAGGCTTAAATTATTATTTGAAGCATTTATGGATTGGAATGGGCAAACTTAACATGCCAGTCAATGCTATTCAAATAATGTTACTTCGATAGTAAAAAATGTTTACATTGATGACCTGGTAAATGCGCGCCAAAATGTTATGAACCCTAATTGAAAATGGATCTACATCCGTGCAGTTTTCTTTCAGGACATCATCGGAGCTTGCCCAGAAAAATACCAATATGATCATTACACATAAGGATTTATTTAAGAACCCTAAGTTTGCGAGCTAATCCATCAATGAGAAAGAGAAGTGACAGCAAAGCCAATCCATAAGCAAGTTGTTTCCTATGGCTCTTCCATGGTGATTAGGGGGAGGCTATTTCTCTCTTAATTTCTTGGTTATGGCACAGACAGCTCCTGCTACAGCCACGACTGTGCCTGAAATTATAATGGCAGATTTTATTCTGCGCAAGGTGTCTTCCTTTTCGTTTTGCCTTTTCTTCTCTTTGATCTCAGCTTGTTCCTACACAGCATAACAGAAAAGGGAACGTATGATTTATTGAGACAGGTGAAATTCTGAGGTCTTTTTTTTTTTTGGAAAAAAAAAAGACAGAATAATGAAGTGAAACCACATAGCATTCCAGCGACATGTCCAATTTTCTTTAGAGATTAATTGATAGTTGAAAGAATAAATATTCAAACTTAAAGGTACCTTATTTTCTTTAGATAAAGCAACCTCGGATGATATGGGATCAACTTGAACGTGATTGTTACTCTCAGGATTCAATGTCCCGTCAACGTCTGCATGTGGGAATTTTGACTCCTCTCGAACCACATCAATGCTGTCGCTGGTTGCCATTTTCCTGTGACCTTAAAGCTGTCAGCTTCGTTCTTTTTGGGTAAGGGAAAATGAGGATTGAGGAGAGGAAAAAAAACGAGAAGGAAAAAAAGAAAGAGGACTCGGAATCATCATTCTTATAACGTACACGTGCCTGTGTCCCAAATGCTGAGATCGTTAAAATTTGAAGATGTTCAATGAAATTGTGTTTCTCTTCTCTAACGTTCCGCAATACTTGTTCAGACTCGCTAAAATTTAGGTCGTCAATAACAAGAAAAGCAAAGGGAACTGAAACTGGTCTAGTTATATGTTTCCGTCGCGTGTGGTCACAATTACTACTTGAAAGCCATTGATTTTGTTAGGGAAAAAAATATCCATCCATTATGTTTTTAAAATATGGATTTTTTTTTTTTTTGCTAAAGCATAAGTGTCCTCCTATTAGAGGTAATTCTATCCGAAACATTATCGGGCACTAAATGCTGATAATTCTTTCAGCAGAGATTCGAATATTAATTCGTCATGTTATGAAAAACTAGTCTTTTAAAATATAGATTTTGAAATAAGGGTTTTGAATGATTAAATGCCAATTTATATATGGGCTGGATTGTTTTTCATTGATTCAGCTCGTGTCGATTCAACCCAATCTACTGCTCCACACACACCCCCCCAAAAAAAAAAAAAAAACTGGAGGGTCTCTTGCATTCCGAGTCTTATAGTCTCCCGCGATATCCTCACGTGATAGAAGGGAATTCATTGTCTCACTGGACCTCATGGCCGAAGCAGAATACTGCATGCGCATGATCAGAGAGGATGTGCGGAGCTTCTGGTGATGCTCCGACCAACATGAGCGCAGGAGACGACTCAGACGAGGCATTATGAACAACCAACAACAGTGCGGGGAAGGGGAAGCGAAGGAGCCTCAACCGTTGAGGCTCACGAACTCACCAACGTTATGGAACTATCGCTTAAGAGAGTTGGCGAAGCAACGACAGTTACCCCAAGCTCTCACTCTCTACCGCCACATGCTTCGCTCTGGTTGTTTCCCCAACACCTTCACTTTTCCCTTCGTTTTCAAGTGTTGTGCCGTCCTCTTGTTCCCTCGCATTGGTTCCCAACTCCATGCCCATGTCATTAGAACCGGCTGCGAACCCGATCCTTATATACGAACTTCTCTCATTTCTATGTATTGCAAATGTAACTTGGTCCAAAATGCACGCAAAGTGTTTGATGAAGTCGGCCCATGGAGGAACTTCACTATTTCTTATAATGCTCTAATATCGGGATGCACCTTCAACTCCAAAATTTTGGATGCCCTCGTGTTCTTTTGCCGAATGAGGGAGGAGGGATTATTGGTTGAATCGGTTACTATGTTGGGCTTGGTGTCAGGATGTACGGTCCCTTCCCATTTGGGCATTGGTATGTGCCTTCACGGTTGTTGCATGAAGTTTGGGTTGGACGGTGACTTATCTGTGGCAAATTGTTTGCTCACTATGTATGTCAAGTGTGGAGAGGTTGAACATGCCCGACAACTGTTTGATGAAATGCAGGAGAAGAATTTGATTACTTGGAATGCAATGATTTCTGGGTATGCACAGAATGGGCTTGCCAGGCATGTTTTGGAACTTTACCGTGAGATGAAGTCCATTAATATACGTCCTGATCATGTAACGCTTCTTGGGGTTCTATCTTCTTGTGCCAACCTTGGTGCACAGAGCATTGGCTCTGAAGTAGAACGACAGATAGAGTACTGTGGATTTGGTTCTAATCCGTTTTTGACAAACGCCTTAATCAATATGTATGCGAGGTGTGGGAATTTGATGAAGGCCCGAGCAATTTTTGATCGCATTGCTGAGAAAAGTGTCATTTCATGGACAGCTATGATTGGTGGCTATGGAATTCATGGACACGGAGAAATTGCACTTAATCTTTTTGAGGAGATGATCAAGTGTGGGATTAGACCTGATGGAACTGCTTTTGTGTCTGTTCTTTCTGCATGCAGCCACGCAGGATTGACTGATGAAGGCTTAAAATACTTCGATGCAATGGAGACGAATTACGGTTTGAAGCCGGGTCCGGAGCATTACTCTTGCTTGGTGGATCTTTTAGGCCGGGCAGGTCGACTGAAGGAAGCTAAGGACCTTATAAATTCAATGAAAGTAAAACCTGATGGTGCGGTTTGGGGTGCCCTTTTGGGTGCTTGTAAGATTCACAAAAACGCGGAACTGGCAGAGTTAGCCTTTGAACGAGTCATTGAGCTGGAACCCACAAATATAGGTTATTATGTCTTATTATCAAATTTATATTCCGATGCCAAGAATTTGGAGGGGGTTTTGAAAGTCCGAGTCATGATGAGGGAGCGAAAATTGAAGAAGGAGCCAGGATGTAGCTATGTTGAATATAGAGGAAAAGTACATCTTTTTCTTTCTGGTGACAAAAGTCATCCTCAAAGTGATGATATATATAAAATGTTGGATAAACTGGAAAGCCTTGTGAAGGAGATTCATCCATCAGCAGAAAATGAAGGAAGTAGGAATGAAGAGCTCTTAACCGGCATGGGGGTGCACAGTGAAAAGCTGGCCATTATGTTTGGTCTGTTAAACACTAGGCCTGGAACAGAGATTACTGTGATGAAGAATCTGAGAGTGTGTGTAGATTGCCACATATTTATTAAGTTGGTTAGCAAGATTGTCAACCGCCGAATTGTCGTTAGAGATGCCACTCGGTTCCATCATTTTAGTGATGGAGCCTGTTCTTGCAGGGACTACTGGTAACACTAGTGCACCGTTTTCAATTGCGATTGCATGGAATGACGTCCCGTTGTTGAGGCTAACAGTTGAAGGAGCAATCAGGTTCGGAATGAAAAAGAAAGCCTGAGGGAGGGCGTAAAATTTGAGCCTGGAGTTGGAGGAGGCGTGCCCAACGACTTTATGATCAATTACCGGGAAGCTCGAAGCAAAAAGTGTCGCGTCTAAATTGACTCCAAGTTACAGGTTTTTAATATGATAACGTGAGATTTGTGGGTGATGAAAGTGCCTTTGACTTCAAAATATGAAAGGAAGGATGCAGGATCAAATTGTACCATTACTAATTGACTTCAATTTTTTTTTTTGGGATGATTTAAGGGAGTAAATAAAAAAAAAAAAGATCATCAATATCATTATATATGTTATTTATATAGTATTGCACTGTTCACAAATCATGAATAATGTAATTTTTTCCAAACTTAAAGCATCATCTTTGCCTCGGCCTTCAAGAAGTGTTTTTTTTTTTTTCGGCGGTCTACCAGCCCCCGCTGCCCAAAACTGCCCTTTAATTATGTTTTATCTATGGCTTGCTCTGTTTTTGAAAGAATTTCACCAAAAAAAATTGAAATTACTAAATTTTATATCAGGATTGGTAACATTGTAATAAGTTTTAACAACACTAAATTTGTAAATAATAACATATTTTTGTAGAAATTTATTATTTAAATTTTAATAATTTTAAATTTTTTTGGGTGAGATTTTCCTCTTTCTTTTTTCGACCGAGGGAAGGGAACCAGGGAGTGTCAAAGGCTATGGCCCAAAAAGTCATGTTCATAAACATTCACCCAAAAAACATGAAGCCGCTATCACCCAGAAAAAAAAACATGAAGCCGCTTCCCTCGGGTACTAAAAATGTCTTGGAGCTGGAAGGACTAACAATTTGAACTCGAAATATTAGCGGCTCAGACCAAACCACAGTTTTGGGTTAATGAAATGAAATGCGATGAAGATACATGGTTAAGAAATTCGCCCAGAAAGAGAACCAAAAAACCACATGAAACTGGTACTGAGTACAATTAAAAGTAGAGACCCAGAAACCACTTTCGAAGTTGCTACCCATCATTCCCTTCAAGAATGGAGTTTCCCTGGTGCTCTCTAGACTTGAATATTCTCAATTATGATATCTGAAATTGTGCAACTCTCACAGGGTCCATAGTTATGCAGCATTAACGCCAAGCTTCAACCAACTCTGTTCTAGAATTTAAGCGCCCAACAATCGCAGTTCCACGGTTTTTTCCTAAAGGTCCTAGTACTGTCACCTCAACTACCTTATTGGAACACTTCAATGTATTTGTCAGGCAAGTGAAGCTACTCTCTTGAAGTCCATTTCTCAAGGAGCAGACTTGAGAAACAACATTACAGGGACAACAATCAACCAGTAGCTTATTGCCGACAGCCTGAACCACTATTTCAGTTGAAGTTGACAAATTTTTGGATCCAATTTCACTTTCAGAGTCATCTTCAGTAAGATTATTAGGGCTTTCCATCAAAGGTTTTTCAGCAAAAGCTGACTTCTCTTGGCTGCTATCATTTCCATTTTCGCAGCCATTATTTAAAATCAGTCCTGAAGAGCTCTGGTTCTCATCATCAAATGAATTTGGATTTGAGACACGATTGGATTTCTTTATTGACTCCTCTCTTTCTCTAAGCGTCTTTATTATAAGAGTCTTGAGAAAATTCATCACCTGTACTACGTACATCAAGGCAATCAAAGGATCTGCCAACTGTAATAGGGAGGGGTCAGAAATGCTGTCATTGCTCGGTGGATTAACCAAAACGTCCTTCTGATACTATATTTTTACCAGAATATTGCGTAACACGTTAAAAACAAGATTCAAGAAATAAATTCAAGCCATACATATAGCTGAAGGAAAGTAGCCCTCTAAAAAACTTTCAGAAGCTTTAAAAGTAAAACAAAATCTATGATAAAATGTTTTCGACCAGAAAGTTATATGCCATACTGTTAAGCCTGCTGAGATAGAAGTTTATAAAAACATAAAATATTAATTTACACAAAAAGCAGCAGCCAACCCAACAACATGACACACAAATTCAATCACAAAAGCTGGGAATAAAAGGATTTTGATTCAATGAGAAGTGGATTCAGTAAGAGGCAACGAGAAGAGTTCATTCCAACCATCTCTTCATAATTAAACGAACGCCCAGGACTGCACAATTGCACAAATTAAAACAATGTTTCATTGCTTCCTGTGAGTTGTCAATAGATAATTGGGATGAACTCTTACTTGCTTAATGATTCTGCATCTTACAGAATTGAAATCCAGAACATAAGTACAACTATACAAAAATGACAAGGCATTTTACTTACTTGAGTCATATTTGGTGCAAATACCATTGCAACATTACGCGCATCCATCTTGTTCAAGTTTTCTAGTTGAGCAACATCAGCCATTAAGTTTATTGCCCAATCTAGTAGAGCAGCCTCCGTTGGAGGAAGCAACCTAACAAGGTGGGCACATTCCTCTTCTGACTGGGATTGCATCACCTGCTCGGGTGAAACAGGGTCCAAAACTCCAGTTGGAAGTTCTCTGAACCAGGCCTACAAAAGAACAACGGGAAATCAAACTAGTGCAATGACCCAGTTTACTTATTTGGTTACCTTAACATGTTAAATTGTTAATAGACCCTGTAATTAACCCACTTTCCCTTCCCAGAAAGAGGGAAAGACTGGTTCAATTTACTGCTTTTTACTGAGCCTCGCCAAATTTATGACTAGACCCCTACAATATGGGAACTTAATTCCAAAAACAGAAAAAAAAAATCTGTAAATGATTCAGATTAAAAGATGCTGGAGAAATAGGCCTAGCAAAACCTTTATAAGACCTGCCAAGCAGTGCACATCAACGCCACCAGGTACTACTCCTCTATTTAATTGTTCCCTTACATACTCTTCTTGACTATTCCCAGCAGTAATTCTGAAGATTCCTTCAGCCTGCATATATATATTCAAGATTTCAAGCCTATTGGTATTGCATTGGAGGCAATATAAAAGCTCCTAAGCAAAGCTACATGAGAGAGTGGCTTACCTGCAGGCCTCCTTGTGCATACAAATGTCTTTGCATTAACAGGAGTATTGTAGGCACGCTATTCCCCCGAGCATCAAAGGAAAGCTGCATAGATTCTGTTGAAACCCCAAAAACATTTGCACTGCAGAAAAGAAATAAAATATATCAAAATTCAAATGGATGATATGGGTTACGAATTGAGGGGCATTCGGTAAGGTATGCAAGATTGCCAAAACGAGAACATGTTCACCAATGACAAAGCTGACAAATGTGAAAATACCATCACCATGACTTCTTTCTACCCAAGCCACCTAAGCTGCAAGAATTGATCTTTTGCTCCCTTTTTTCCAATAATCTCAACACCATTTATGAAGTGCATTACTATCTCAAAGAGAATTAAGAAAAGAATAGACACGGAAACAAAAGGAATGTGTGGCAGAATCACCATAGATGGAAGAAAACACTTAGATTAATGATGTGTATCAGTTTCACATCTCTCTTGTATGTTAAATTGCTACAATTAACCAAACCCACTTCAGAAGACTAATATGCAAAATGAGCAAGCATCTCTTCATGAATGAATTTGTTGTGTATGCCACAGAGAGGATTCAGTGTCAAGCTTGACATGGACAGGAAAAGAGGAAGCAAGGGTTAACAAAACATGCGAGCATAGCTAGGAATTGGGAAATCAGTGTCAAGCTTGACATGGACAGGAAAAGAGGAAGCAAGGGTTAACAAAAACATGCGAGCATAGCTAGGAATTGGGAAATGAGGAGGGAGGGGGAAAAACTATTAAAATGAGTTTCCAAGAAAATGCACAGCGTGCAGTTTTGCTGCTAATTCCATTTTACAATCCAACAGTTGCAAATTCATAGAAATCACCGCTCCAATTGCTCGAATTTGATTGCAATCATATCTGCAATTGGAGACTCGGGGGAAAAAAACTTCAAGAAGATCACGACGCCGGCACTAAATAGTCATTTAGATTTAAGCTACATATTGAAAAAGATGCAGAAAGACCCATCAAATCCCCTATCTGATAACACTCTTTATCAAACAGATATTTTTAAGTAAAAATTACAGAATGAACTGACCTGGCGCTGGGAGCCCTCTTGGGGACTTCAGGTTCGAATTCGACGGGTAATCCAAGAAACCCATCAAAGCGGTCGAACGTGACATGCGCAACGTGCCTGACATTGGAAGGCCACCCAATCTCCGTTGAAGAGATTTCACTTCTCGCACTGGAACTGCAACCAATCAAAGATTTCCTAAAAACAGCAATTAAAAGTGTCAAGATAGACAGCTGATCTCCCTCTCTGTGTCTTTCTTTTCTTGTCCTGTCTGGCATTCTATCATCGTCTTCTTGCGCCTCCTCTGCACCGAAATGGTCCTCGACGTCTTCCCCAGCCGCGGAACTGTTAATAAGGGCACTTGGTTGCGAACCATCGTTCGGGTTGAGTCGCCCACATGGACTGGAAGAGCTTGAAACTGAAGGGAAATGAGGTGGAGATTGGAATACTTGGGTCATATTTGAGCAATTATTTTGCAGTAAGACGTAGACTTCGATCTTGCCCAATTATTATTGAGTCTCTCCACCAAAAACCAATAATTCGATATGAATATTGTCAAGTGGAGTTTGGATCAAGAAATGGTTCTGGAAGGTTAGGCCTGTCCATCATCAAAAAGCATTCACCTGTTTGATTTTCCCTTCAAGCAAACTAGTAATTTCATCCTCGAAATATTTATAAAAAAAAAAAAAACACATTCTGAACTTCTATAGCATAAAATTTAATTTCTACAGAAGGTAAAAGTATCAGTTTAAAGCACTTAATTACATGAAGGCCAAAAAATATACATATACTTAATTATATGCGATAATCAATAAACCCTGCATGTCTTATTACTTAAAATCCACGAAGAACATGTGCTTAGAGTTATTTCTGAACAAGAATCCCTATCCTCTCCATCTGCATGCCCAGCAGCGCAAAATCTCCATTCCACCGTCTTCCCCCTTCTTCAGTCAATCCTGAAGTCTTGACCCTCACCCGCTAATTCAGTCAGAAGTGAAGGAGGAATAGGAGACACTGAGGAATACAACGAGCTGGCGAAGGTGAATACCGTTTTCTTTTTGTTCTGTTGGGGTGATGTCTTGCTTGTGTATAGTATCATCGGGTCTCAGCCTCCTGCTCTGTATGGACTTAACAGTGAGGAGCAACGCAAGACGGAGAGACCCAATTGTTTGCACCGCTTTTCCTACCCTGCACCTTCCATCCCTTAAACTCTTAGGCGCCTTTTTTAGGCCCGCGTCGTCTTCCACGATTACCCGAGTACAAGGCTTCTTGTTTATCATCTGTCTTTTGCTAAAGTCCATGGCTTTGTCTCATTCCATTACTTTAAGAACCATAATTTAGTGGGCACCTTGATTAATGATCACCTAGTCTTTCGTATTACTTCAGCTTTTCCAGTTCCAATAAGCTCAAAATTTCACGCTCTTGTCTGCTGTCCCTGACCTCGTTATCACTCACTGTTAGTGGGAGGAAAAAAAGAGATAAAGAAAGCAGAGAAGCTTGTTCTGCCGGCCAGCGCCCAAAAAGGCTGGTCAAGAAATAAACTTTAAAAGAGGAAATTGATGGGACCTCCTGGGCTCTGAAGTGAACTGCTGTCCGCAAAAGAGGGTTTTAAAGGTTTCTAATTCGCGCAATTTTTTTCAACATATGATGCTAAAGCAACATAACCATTGCGCTCTGGAGAGCTTTTATCTTTTTGAAGCAGAACAAGGCTCTGATATTATGGACGCTCTTTAGAGGGCAAAAACCTCACTTTAGGGCAGTTAACCTTTGTGTTTCTTCATACTATTATATTATTCATTTATCAATCTTCTTGTTCGTTACATTGTGATGATTCCTCAAAAATAGAGGGATCGGGGGATAGCAGACTCAGAAATAAAGCGAAACAGAGTTAAAGATTGCATGCATGCGCGCGTGCTTTGGGGGTGGCTGTATCAGGGGTAAAATGCCGAATACGCAAAAGGGGTGTTGCGAGAATCGAACTCGCGACCTCTCGCACCCGAAGCGAGAATCATACCACTAGACCAAACACCCAGTTTGGAGGGGGAATTCAAAATATAATTTAGATGACACGCACAGATATAATCTCATTCGCCACTCCCTTGTCACTTTTCCTCTCTGCTCTTTGTGCAGTATTTAAACTAATGGGAACAAAATTTAACCCAGGCCAAGCTATATGGAAGCAAATTGAAGGAGATTTGCTATGGCTTCGCTTCTTATAGTATATCTACATATGGATGTCATATTTTTCTTAATATATTGCTTATAACTAATATACTATCTTTTAGTCTTTAACATAAGAGTTAATTGACTAATTTGAGTAGATTAATCAAGTTTGTTGAGTTAGTTTTTTATAATAAATATACGTTGTCTTCCATATAATATCATTGCTAATCATATGTGTTAGTCAGAACTATCATTTAATAGAATCTTTAACATGTGCAACTAAAATAATGAACTACTTTGAAAAAGATGAATAAATATAAAAGACAAATTAAAAATTAAACTAGTTCTTATATTAAGGAGTGGAGTTAGTATTATAAAATTAATAAAATTTTAAAGAAGCTGGTATGTAACAATACTTTTTTACTCTTCACATGGAAATATTAAATGGAGACAAATCAAGATGACGATATCAATGCGAATTCTTGGTCGGTGAAGCAAATACACACATTCAAAGTTCAGTTGGCAATGTAATCAAACTCGTGGGGAGGGGAGGGGAGCCCTAAGTAGTTTCCACATAAGCGGTGTCTTCCTCCGAAGTTTCCATGAATTTTTCCCTTATTAGTTTAAGGGTATTTTTTGGATTGGCGGTGGGTAAAACTGACTTCTAGTCTAACTGATTTTTCTAACTGAAGTTAAGTAAAAGTCAGTTAGTGCAATGCTATTTATGTTTGGATATGTGCTTATAAAAAGTCAGTTAGAAAAGTTAAAAGTTGTTTGGATGATTAATGACAAAGTAATTTGGATGTAAAATGACTTAAAAGGATATGAATTATATTAAATAATACATATTTATATTATATGTATATAATGTAATAATTTTAAGAGAAATATTAAAATTAATTGTGAGAATGACTTAAAAGGAGTCCAAGTATTATTGAAAAATTTGTAAAATATAACTTGTCATATTTTAATTAAAAAGCTAATTTTAATGATTTTTAATTTTGATGAGTCAAGCATAAAAATCAAAATGAAAATAAAATTATAACTTTTAATTAGTGAATTGTTTTAATTTTTTTGGGGATAGAATATTAATTATAAAAATAATAGTGACTAAAATGAAATAAAATAGTAGTAACAGGAACTTTATTATTCATGAAGAGAGGGGGAGAGAGAAATGATATGTGTGAAGGAGAAGATGGGCATGTGAAAATTCTTAACACCGGATGGCGACGCTAACGTGGGAAAAGTAGCAAAAGTAGCGTTGACTTTATCAAGTGATAAGTTGGTTTTGAGCTTTTCTAATAACGCTGACCCAAACGAGCAAAAATTACAAATGAGCTTCAAACCTTCATTTCACAAATTCCTAGACACGTTTGGGTCTTTAAATGGTGATCCAAACATGCTTTAAGTCTTAAGACCACCAATTCAAACAAACAGCCCGCTATGTATTTTATAAAGAACCGTACTTCTCTTTCTAAAACCATACCCTTTTTAGTTGCAAATTAACCGAGAAACAATAGATCAAGGCGTTGACTCGTGATCATGAAGCCATCCTTTGACTAGGAACTCCGTCGTCGGGAATCCGACATCAACCACCATGCCTACTCTCCAATTGACTCCACATATTAAAACGTTATAGTACCTCCCGATCTTTAATATAAGAGTTAGTTAATTAATTTGTAAATTAAAAAAATTAATTAAGTTATTTATTTGTAATAAATAAATATTATTTTTCCTAAAATATAATTGTGAATCAAATATATTGGTTAGAATTACTATTATTACAATGACTACTTGAAAAAATAAATAAATATAAAAAACAAAATATATTGGAGTCTTATACTTAAAACTAAAATAAAAGTCAAATGAATTTATATATTAAGTGTCAAAGGTAGTATTAATTCTTGAAGAGTAGAAAGTTTACACATTAATAATCTTATTATGATCATTTAAAATCCGCCACGAGAGCTAAATGGGCCAGGGCCTGTCAGCATCTGAAGAGTTTTCAAGGGCCCAGCCCACCTCAGCATTTGAAGTCGTCTCTTTGGGCGGACGGATTCATTTTCCAAGTCAACCATTTTGGCATGCTCTGTTTATGAAACTGAATGATTGATCATTTAAAATCTCATTATTTTTCTAGTCTATCCGTCCTCCACCTCTCTCTCTCTCTGAGTTTGTCGGACTTATGGTAGATGGTATTGTGGTTGGTTGGTCATTGGTGTTTACTTTATCAGATGTCAAATGCCTAATCTCGGGGATTCCCAGGATATTCCTCATTGATAGTATAGATCAAGGCGTTGACTCGTGATCATGAAGCCATCCTTTGACTAGGAAACTCCGTCGTCGGAATCCGACCTCAACCACCATGCCTACTCTCCAATTGACTCCACATATTAAAACGTTATAGTACCTCCGATCTTTAATATAAGAGTTAGTTGATTACTTTAAATAAATTAAAAAAATTAATTCGTTATTTATTTATAATAAATAAATATTATTTTTCCTAAATCTAATTGTGAATCAAATATATTGGTTAGAATTACTATTATTACAATGACTACTTGAACAAATAAATAAATATGAAAAAAAACATATTTGGAGTCTTATATTTAAGACCAAAATAAAGTCAAATGAATTTATATATTAAGTGTCAAAGGTAGTATTAATTCTTGAAGAGTAGAAAGTTTACACATTAATAATCTATTATGATCATTTAAAATCCGCCACGAGAGCTAAATGGGCCAGGGCCGTCAGCATCTGAAGAGTTTTCAAGGGCCCAGCCCACCTCAGCATTTGAAGTCGTCTCTTTGGGCGGACGATTCATTTTCCAAGTCAACCATTTTGGCATGCTCTGTTTATGAAACTGAATGATTGATCATTTAAAATCTCATATTTTTCTAGTCTATCCGTCCTTCCACCTCTCTCTGAGTTGTCGGACTTATGGGTAGATGGTATTGTGGTTGTTGGTCATTGGTGTTTACTTTATCAGATTTCAAATGCCTAATCTCGGGGATTCCCAGGATATTCCTCATTGATGGAAGCTCAACGTATAATAACTTCGGATTAACTTTTAATGAAATAATTAGTAATCAATATTAAAATGGCGTTCATAATGATAGCACCCATGATTAGTCGTTTCATTAGTTCAAATGTCACTGTTTGGAAGCATGATGCAACTAGTGAGAAGAGAGGTCAGAGAGGTAGAAGTGGTGGTTGGTGTGGGAATCAAAACGAGACCCATACAGTGATAAGCCGCCTTGCGGTTTCAGCCAACAATGATGGGAGAACAGTGAACCCTCCTCTCTCTCTATCTCTCTTCCCTGCTGCGGAACGAAAATGCTGGGGAAGAGGATGGTTACGATCAAGAAGCTAGCGAGGAAGGTGAAGGGAGTTGGTGTTGGAGCTGACCATGATCCTGATCCTGCGCACCACGAGTGTTTGCTCAAGGAATATGCACAAGAGTCTCCAAACACGATACCGACTGGTTATTTTCCGCTCTATGTTGGGGAGGAACGTCAGAGATACGTGGTTCCAACCACATATTTATCTCACCCATTGATCAAGATCTTGTTGGAGAAGGCTTACCATGAGTTTGGGTTTGAACAGAGGAACGGCCTTGTGCTTCCCTGCACTGTGGCCACGTTTCAGGAGGTGCTAGCTGCTATACAATGCAGCAATGGTAAGTTTGACTTGGCCAAGATTTTTGAGGATCTTATTTGATCTGCATTGTTAGACCACAGGATCCTTCTGGTTTTTCTTTTGATCGAAGGGGTTAGTGTTAAAATGCATTCGATCGATGCGTAGCCTTTTGTGGGGCTTGTACTTAAATTTAGGATGCAGTATTAACTACAAGTAGAAGATAGAAACGAGTAGGGCCATGGATATTGTAAATTGCCGATCCAGCTTCAACTTCATATTTCAATGGAAGCCAGTGTTGGTTCAGAAGATAGCTACTTTTCCAGGCAGAATTCATCTGACATGTAAATTAGTTTATGGAAAGAGCGCTTCAAAATTTTGATTTGTCCTTCTTTTGCGTCTTGCTCTTCACTTTTTTTGGAACCTGATTTATACGTTACAACTGTCATCCACGAAGCAGAAGCTCAGTGATCAACGGCAAATATTGCGCAGGTAGGACGGAATCGGCTAGTCAACTGCCTGTGTTACCGTGGATTTTTGTCATGAATATATGGTTAGATTTCTAATGAGGACCCATCTGAATTAGTCTTACACCTTTTTTTGGATAAACTTAAATTTTACACTTTGACATTCAAGGCAATCCTTGAAAAGGAAGTGAGAACGAAAATGGAAGGCGGAACCAATAGGCATCGTTTCATTTCTTGATGCTTCAGTTCAAAGCGTGTGCAATCTTTTTCAGTTCTTGTAACGTGTGAGAGAAGGTGAAAATTTGTTGCGTTCCACTTTCTTCCACAGTTTTGTTGAACTTGGCTCCAGGGCAGGTAAGATTTCAATCCGATAGTCTTCACTCCCTGAAAAAGGATGTTAATTGGGTATTTTTGCAATAGTAAACAAGGTTTAATTTTTCTTAATAAATGTAACATATAGTTTTCATGCAATGTTGTTTGATTCAATTGGTACCCCTGATCTTCCAAGGTTGCCCATGAGACTCGAGCCACTAATTAGTACTCCTTCCAGTTCTAAATATAAAACTTATATTATAGTGTAATTTATATTACAAAATAAGTCTTATATTTAAGACCGGAAGAATACCTTGGTATCTAGCTACTTTTTTCTTTAATTCTCCTGACATATGCCGGGCAAATGGCCAAGAGACTTTGAGCTTTTTCAATTTATGCATGTATTATTCCAAATATCCTAATGTAGTTTAATATAATTTTTTAAAAACAATCTTTTGCATGAATGTTCGGAACGAAACTAGAGATTTGCCAAAGAAACTGAGCATTGGGACACATTTTTCTTTGGAAAATGCGTGTAAAAACGAAGTGAATCTTTTGGGTAAAAAAGAAGGAAATATATTTGAGCAAAGAATGAGATTAGCATCTTATTCGTCATCCCATTAATTACTCTCCCTAGCGCTAGTTTCTCCTTATTCTAAGACCATACATTCAAATTGGCACTCAGCAACAAGCCAAGATTTTCCAGCGTCCTTGCATACTTCCAGTTACTACATAGTTTCCCATAGTCTATGCAATAAATAGATTGCATTATCATTCTCTGAGCAGTTCACGTTCTGAACAGACGATTGTAAATCTAACCCATACACTGAATTGAAAACAGCCAGCAAGCAATGGCCCATGAATTACTCGATAAAACGGCCATCATTAACTCAGAAAGCGTAAAAAAAACAGCTCAGTCCCTCATTGATCTTCACTGCTACAACCATCCACCACGAGGAGTCTCTTCATATGATCGACCAAGTCTTGCATCTGCTCCCTGGAATGCAGGGCGAAGGATATGCGCACACACAGCTCAAGCTTCCATCTCGTATGGCGTCGAATATGGCAATGGATGGACTCACGCCGTGCACAGAAGCGCAACATATATAATCTTCCAATCCAAGGTCTTGATGCATTTGATTTGAATCATCGATGATAGGTTCTTCAAACATCGACATCAATGCCGTTCTGAGAGACGATGATGGTGTCAAACCAGGGTTTTCAATGGCCTTGTTCATGAGAAAATTCAGGTCAGAAATGTCTGTAAAATGCTTGTTGTTGTTCTGGCCGTTCTCAAATGCCGTGTAGCTTCTCTTTGCCAATTCCCACAGGGGTTCTGCACACACATCGTGTGTATTTAATATTCCAGAATGATAAAATCCTGGACCAAACAAGGGAACAACCCAACGGCTTTAGTGAAGGAGGAAAAAATAACATATGCTTAACTGAAGACTCCAAAACATTCCAAGTCCAAATGCTTAATAGCTAACAATTTGAGCAATGTAAGGTGCATGAGAGGTGAAAGTCTAGGCTAATTATAGGCGAGACGTTAACAAGACGGTTTGGTGTTACTAAGTTTTACTTTTAGTCTGTTTTCATCAGGTCTGACGTGAAAATTTAAACTAGTTAGAGAACTAGTGAGCACTCTAATTACTATTACTAATGAAATAAATAGACAGGGAAAAAAAACAAGAAGAAGAAACCATCATACCGACTATAGAAGTTGGAAAAATTGAAGAAAAGAACCGGTGTTGTTTTTCCTTGGAAGCGGTCTAGTGTTTCGTGCCAGCGAGAGCAGAGTAATAAAGCAGGCCAAAAACCTTTAAAAAAAAAAAAAAAAGGTTCCCAGGAATTGTGGATTACCAAGGTGGTTGCAGCTGAGGACAGGATCAAGCTCGGAACGGCAATCAATCAGAGTTACAACAGCATACTTCTCTCTTTGGTCATCAGGAAGGTGTTTGGAGGTCCACACCGCGCTCATTCCAGCTGCTGCAATTGCCCCACAAAGCTTTATTCCTCTTGATTTGCATCCCTGCACAATTGGTTAACCTCGTGCTGATTTATTTTTATGGTTGTACGTAGACTCTAACATGTAAAGATGCACCGGCAACTAAATACATATAATCCCATGATACGCTGTTAACGTGTTATGAGTATGCCACATTTTCTTTTGTATAAAATTAAAAAAAAAAAAACAAAAGAAAAGAAACTTGAATAACAGACACTGGCGAGAGAGTTTTGCATAAACCTTGACCAGTGGGATACTTTCTGGTAGAGGACTAGAGGCTATGTGTCCTCGAAAATCTAAAATCAACCGAAGTTTAGCTTCTTTTTTTTTACCAGAACCGAAGTTTAGCTTAAAGCTTAAACATTTAAAAAACATTCTAAAAAACATGATTGTTGAATTTAAGATTTTAAATAAAAAAATATCATAAATATATTGTTATTTGTTTTTCGGGTGTAATTATTTTCTTTGCAAATGCCATAATCAATGCTAATTTAGAATTTTTAAATTTAATGGGTTTTTTTCCTATTTTTCCAAACATTTATGTCCGTACCATAAGTTTCTCCTTTTAGCATTTTAGCTTGTTTCTTTTTTTTTCTCTTCTCTCTGCAACTCTGATTCTGCGCTCTATTCTGCAACTCTGACGCAGTACCACAATAAATGGGGTCGCGATCTTTGAGCCAAAAGTAGAGTAATCACACTATCACTTCCTTTTTGTTGACCATTTGGCATAGGGTGCGATTCACCACAGAAGCGCACTAACGTGAAAACTGAAAACATATCTTTCCTCTGCTGGGCTAACCATTTGACCTGCTCATATCTGACCCAAAGGCCCATGCCCACTCCAAACCCGTTATGGAAAAATGACGTCCATGACAAAAACAGTTTATCCATGATGGTCTCTTAAGTATTCCATTGAAAATAAATCTTATTATTATTGCGTAAAATAATATAACATATCTGTATTATTTTTTATTGATATAATAATACTATAAAAAAAGCTCCTTGCCAAAACCATCACTTTAGTATTTCACGTTTTCGTGCTAACCTTATTTAGATCTGCAGGTTGCCTTTGTGGTCAGTAGATTGTAAAGAAAAGTTACAAATATTTTGCATTAACTGCAAAAGTAGCCATTGATAACTCTGCCAACGCCATTCATAAAGATATTGTTAATTTTCTTTCTCTTTTTACTTTTTTCTTTGCGCAGGTAGCTTCTTCTTCAGATTCTAAGGTAATTTTATTTCAGCTCTTCTTCTTCTTCTTTTACTTCTTATATCTAGTTATCGCATTTTTCTATGATTAATGCATTTTAATTGTTTTCTAAAAAAGAAGATATATAATGCTATAAAAGCTCTATCTGACGCTCTTCATCCGTTATAAACCTTGCAGCTTACTTGTTAATACCCGTATTCTGGTAAAAAATCTCTACATATATCTAGTTTTACCCAGGACCAATGATTTTTTAAATACGAAATTTGCTGTTCAGCTTGTCGTAGATTCGTTCCGGTGAAAATTTAGCAGACTTATTCATCAATCACTTCCAACCACCATATTTGAGAACTTGTTCATGACATTGGATTTTGCAAGCTCTGATATATCAATATTTATTTTTTTTCTTTTCTATGGTTTTTCCCATTAGATTTTCCTAAAGAAGTTTTTAATGAGATAGTATCATGAAATATATATCAATAAATATTGTACTCTTTTTCTTCTACTAGGTCGGTTTTTAATGAGACAGTATCATGAAATATATACAATAAATAGTTGTACTCTTTTTCTTCTACTAGGTTTTGTCTCACAGGGTTTTCCCTATAGAAGTTTTTTAACGAGACACATATTTAGTATGGACATCCAAGAGAGTGTGTTAGATATAAATCTTTATAGATGTCCACGTATCTATCATTATCTTCCTTATCTCCCAGTATTTTTAATATCTCCTATTATCCCCTTTATTTACAATTATCTTTTTTCATTATATTTATTTATCAGATTTTAAAAGTAATTATATACAAAGATATAAATAACTAAATCCTATTATAAAAGTATTTCAATAAAAGTATTTATAATGTATCCCCTTGAATAAGAAATACTTCCTCTTACTGATATTCTTTCTTCTCTAATTTTTTCTTTGTTGTAGTTATTGTTTTTATAGCAGGACGAAAGTGATTTTTTAAATACGAAATTTGCTGTTCAGCTTGCCATAGATTTGTCAGCTTTTAATTAAAAATAAAAATAGACTTCTCGGCCAATCAAATCAAAATAGGATAAACACTTCAGTTAGTAAAGAAAGTAACTCAGCCATTAGCCCCCCCGTTTCGTCCGTGTTCAGCTGAAACTTCACGAACCGGGTGCATTTAGGCGGACTAGCTTCGACGAAACTCAAATTCGCCACCCTCAGTGCGTTCAAGGAGTAACCAAGCACGTCCACTCCACGCGCCCAGAAGGGTTTGTTGGCCTTGCCTTTCGGGATAAGATCCTCAATCGGCATCCCCATCTCGTCTTCATTCCCCAACTCCGCCGCCGCCCCTTTCCCTGCCAGTTGAGACAGCAGTTCCCTCAGCACAGCCATCGCCGTCGTACGGTCGCATGCCGCCGTGTGGAACCGCAGGAAAACTGCCCAGTAGTGGTCACTTATCGTGTAGGTGCTAGCATAAAAGACGTCGGTGTCGGCCGGCGTCAATGAGTCGCTAGGGTCATGCCAAGGGTTCTGACCGAGCTCGTGCTCGACGATTAGGTGGAAGGCACTATTGATATTGTGGTCATCGGGATCAGTTGCGATGATGCGGGACGTGGATTGAAGATCAAAGGATGAAATTTCGATGTGAGGATTTGGGGGAATTAGGAAATGATAGGTGCTTGTGTTGGGGTCTAGGTGAATCTTGGACCGGAGGATAGGGTGGGAATTTTGGATGTTCCGAAGTGCGGTTTGAAGAAATGGGGTGTTTGGGGGTTTGGAGAAGAGGAGACCCAGGACGGTGACTCCGTGCCACCAGGAACTGCTTTGCACCAGCTTAGCTCGGTGCTGCCGACGGGTCGGGTAATGGAATCGGACATGGGTGGGTGAAGCGTCTCGCTCTCTCCTGCCTTGCTCATGGTGCTTGCTAGCCCGAAAAAGAAGAGCCACAGCCTACATTGAAGAAAACCTTCAATAATTTGATCCAATAATGACAAGTGAGAAACCAACAGAGTTACGGCAGCTCAGGCAGCTCTCCTGTAAATGGGCAAGCAGAGAAGGACCCGCATTAAATAAATATTTAATTCGCGATCGATCCGCCAAAAATTGTAGCAGCCTCAACTTCTGTTTTCAATTGTTTTTACAGGAAAATGTTAAAAGTTTAATTATGATTAAATTAAATTAATATTGTGAGACTCAGTCGTCATCCTCTGAGACTTTTGAAATTATTTAGTTCGAATTTTGTCTATGATGTCGCACTTACGCTCGTTTTAAGTCAAGCACTAGTCTATGTTTTTTTTTGGCGGCAACGTCAACCACGAGACTCTCCTTTGATGACGTTGTTCGTAGACTGCTCTCAACTCTCAGGAGTATTTTTCAACAAAACTGAACTGGGCAAAATAACTTGAAGAGTCATCCAAATAGAAAAATGCATTTTCTTAATCATCATCATCACTGACTTTAATTTAGTTTGATCCCCGTTATGATTTATTTTGTGTTAATAATTAATAATATTATTATTCCACGTTAGTTCATGCATGCGTGCAAGAAAGGCTTGCGGGCCTCTTGGGAATTGCATCGGCCCCGTTATCAATATTAACTGCTTATTAAATTATTCAGGGACGTCGTCCTCCTCTTGCTTGAATAATTTGAATTATTAACCCCCCCCCCCCAAAAAAAAAAAGCATTTGAAAAACAAGAATTGGAGAGTACTCCCACAAAGTCACACTGTTTGGACTTTAGAGTTTTCTATTAGGTAAACGACAAAGACGCACGCACCCTATTGAATTATTATCACTGGAGAAAACTGACGAAAAGATAAATTTTTATGTTCTGCAAATTTTATACGTAGGAAATAAGAGTATTCTGATTTGAGACTTTTTCACTCTAATAAAGTTTCACGCGGGAGATTTGTTTTTTTCCCCCGTTGCCTCCGGTTACTGTGGACTACTTGCACCTTTTTCTCCAAAATATAATTATCTCACGCATAATAAATTTTAAGAAGGGGCGGGTGTGGGACCATGATTGCCGATACGTAACACAGCCTTCAATTTAATTCTTTACTGCTAGCGGACGTCTTGGATGAATACAACCCATTAAGATATCATGCATCAGACCTAAACTCCTTAAATATACCAAACAAAGAACATTTACTGATGTCGTGATTTAACTACAAATAGTGGAAGCAAAGTTGTTAAACTGCAGTGCTGATTAAATTGTGCTCACAAGTACTGATTATTTAATATCGTTATATTATGCTACCTTCGACATAAGTGCGATCGCACCAAAACCAGAGCTTTGCGTGGACGGAAATACCTAATTCATGAATGACTGGGACACACACACACACACGAATCTGTATTGTCATTTCAATCATTCGTATAATGTTCCAGCTTGGATAAGAACAGCCTTCATGGTACTAACAAACTGGTGCATCTGTTGTCTGGAGTGCAGCGGCGATGGGTACACGCAGACGCAGTCCAAGCATCCATTTCTGATGGTGTCAAACACAGCAATAGATGGGCCCACCCCATGAACAGAGGCGCACCCCATGAAGTCTTCTAAGCCCACCTCTCCCCGCATCTCGCCGCCGCCGTCGACGTCGTCGTCGATCACCGTGTCCTCGAACACCGACACGATCGAGGTTCTCAATGAAGACGAGGAGGTCAGGGAGGGGTTCTCCATAGCCGTGCGCATCAGCAAGTTTATGTCCGCCATGTCTGATAAGTGCTTGTTGCTCTTCTTAGAGTTTGAAAATGCTTCGTACGCTCGTTGTGCCACGTCCCATAGGCTCTCTTCCCCTCCCTTCATTACGTGCGTGTTGAGAATTGCAGCGTGATAAAACCCTACGCATTTAATTTCACACGTTGGTACTTTAGTCAAATAAAAAGAAAAAGAAAAAAAAGAAAACCACCGGTGCTCATACAGTTTGGTCATTAGTGACCCACTGACCGTCCACTGTTACGGACGAAGATATTTATGACTCCCTATCCTTCTTCATTAATTACATTCTCTGCATCGAACGGTTCCGAGCTCTTTTCGTTCGTTTTTGCTAAAAAGCTCTTTTGTATTTATTATGGCTTTGTCCCTCGACCATCCTATGCCTGTTGCTCTCCTAAATAATTAATTAACTGAAGAATATACTAATCCTATTTATAAAGTATTTTTAAATATTTTATACAGATTAAAAAAATCTTAAAATTTATTAACTCTTTATTAAAATATAATAATTTTTTTAATTTTACCTATATTTAATATATAGACCTCTCAAAACAAAAAACTATTTATACTATAATAAATAAAAAACAAATTTATACCAAAAATTTAATAAAATAACTTATAAATAGAGTAAAAAAAAATTTTATCTCTACCTGAACCGGAAGAGTATGTGTGTGTACGTACTTCTCGGTGCTTTTTATGCTATAATTATACGTCTTTCAGTTTCCTGTTTCTTGCCTTTATGTGTATAAGAAAGTTGGTGTCCATTATAATTGACAGAAATATTTAAATTTTTTAAGAAATACCCATTTTAGTTTTTAATGAAAATGGTAGTTCGTTAAGTTGAAACAAATGTTTTGAATAAATTATGATTAATTTTATTTTTACACATCATAAGGACTGCAAAGCACTTCTCTCTCAACTAATTTCATACATACAAAGCAACATGTATTATAGATCTTAACTAAAGACTGTCAAATAATGATCCCATAATATATAACTAACTATAAGCTAGCCACAACGCTATGATGTTATGAGTTATCTGCATAGCTAGTTCCATATGAAGCAGGGAAAGAGAATGAAAGAGCATAAGAGGAAGGAAGAAGGGCACTGGAAGCAAGGAACCAGGAAAATATGAAGAAAATGGAAGATGGAGTGAGCGCACCAAAATTGTGAGGAGAGAGTGGAGGATGAAGAGTGGAGCGGCAATCGACAAGAGTGACCACCCCATACTTCTTCCCACTCTTCTTGGAGCCGTGTGCCGCCATCAATGCCGCTGCTGTCAAAGCTCCACACACTTTTATCCCCGTCTTCCTGCATCCCTGCATATATATACCTTCTCAATACACATCATGAAACGCAATTACATATGTATGTGATCATCACATCAGGTAGTGGCTACGCTCACATACATTCACAACTCCCTCCGTCTCGTTCCGGTTCAGTTGCAATCTCACCACCTGTGAACGCCTCCTGCTTTTTGTTTCTTCAAATCTCAGATTTGTCAGCCTCAGCGAGTTTAGAGAGTAAGCAAGCATGTCCATCCCACGTGTCCACACTCCTTTTTTCCCCTTCCCACTGGGCACCAGATCTTCTATCGCCAATGATAACTTTGATGTTTCCTTCTCCTTCTTCCTCTCTTCGCCGACCTCTTTCTCTTCCGTTTTCAGCCCAAGCCGCAGCTCCCTCAAAAGCGAGGCCGCCGTCGTCCGGTCACAAGCGGCCACATGGAGCCGGAGAACAACCGCCCAAGATTCGTCAGGAAGAGCATAAATGCTTGCAAACAGGACGGGGACGTTGGTGTGGGAGTGATGGTCGTGGTTCCAAGAGATGTGATTCAGCTGGTGTTCAAGGATTTGTTGGAAGGGAGAAACAGGCAAGTCGTGGTGGGGAACAAGCAGAGTGGAAGTGGCTGAGAGATCAAAAGATTGTACGCTGAGGAAGGCAGTGGTGGGGGAGGCGAGGAAGGAGAAGGAGGAAGTGTTTGGGTTGAAATGGAGGGTCGAGTTGAGAATAGGATGGGTATTTTGGAGCTTGTGAAGGGCAGTTTGGAGGCGAGAGAGAAGGGGGGGCTTGGACAGGAGGAAAGCCAAGACGGCGATGCCGGTGCCGCCGGGAACGGCTCTGCACCAGGTGTACTCGCTCCCGCCGACTGATCGTCCCATGGCAGCGTCCACCACCTCACAAGACATGCTCTGATTTTTTTGGGGGGGGGGGGGTTGGTTATTGGAATAGGGCAGCGATAGTCTTCGACGCGAATAGTGATCCTTTGTTTTGAACCTTTTATAAATGGCGCCCCTGATAAGATGCAGATAGTTGCCATTGGCCTTCCTCACTTCATATTCTGCCACGTGGCGGGTAGATCAGTGCTTCACTTAATGACTAATAAATTTAGTGAGTGGACTACCGTACAGAGCAGATATGCAAAAATGTGACATTTCTCCCTCGGTTCTCGAACATACCATGAGTCATCATTGTCGCGCCTACTGATACTAAATAATAAGAAAAAAGAAAAATTACATATAAGTCCCATAAAAGAGATTTTATTCCTCTAAGATCTCATAAAATATCAAAATTATTAACAGGTCCCAAGAGACCTTAGAATAATATATTTTATTTGTAAAATGACATTACTGTCCCTCACATTTCAAATTCACATTTACTCTGTCATTACGATTTACAACCTCAGCAGCGACTATTAACAACCCAATGAGAACGTGTTAACAACCTAAGCAGTATTCGTTAACAATTTACGTTATAAGATCACATAATCTTCATATAAAAGTAAATTATAACCAAATCGTATAATACAGCAATTTTAATACTAAAATGGGAAGATTTTCGAAGCCACTAGGAACTTTAACTAAATCGACTAGGATTATAGCAAAATTTTAATACAGAGATCCATTGACAACCTCAACGGTGAGTATTAATAACCTAAAGAGAACTGTTCACAACCTTAGCAGTGTCTGTTAACAACTGACTTTATAGGATAATATAACCTCTAACAACTATATAAAATTAACTTTGACACTATTTATTATAATTTAGTTAGTTATAGTAAGGTATATTATCCTATAAGTCAGTTGTTAACAGTTCTTCTTAGGTTATTAATACTCACTGTTGAGGTTGTCAATGGATCTCTACATTAAAATTTTGTTATAATCCTATTGAGTTTAGTTAAAATTCTTAATGATTTCAAGAAGCGTCCCATTTTAATGTTAAAGTTATTGTATTATGCTATTTGGTTATAATTTACTCTTATGTGGAGGTTATGTGATCTTATAAAGTAAGTTGTTAATGGATACTATTTAGGTTGTTAACACTTTCTCATTAGGTTGTTAATAGCCACTGTTGAGGTTGTAAATCACAATGATAGAGCAAGTGTGAATTTGGAATGTGAGGGGCAGTGACGTCATTTTACAAATAGAATATGTTACTCTAAGGTCCCTTGAGACCTGTCAGTAATTTTGACATTTCGTGTGACCTTATATGAATAAAATCTCTTCTGTGGGATCTTACGTAATTTTCCCTAAGAAAAATAGTTAAAATGGTTTTTTTGAAAAAAAAACCCAATTAAATACATACTTTGCTAACTTTCAAATTAATTGACCAATGATATCCAGTGGAAAAAATAATAATTGATACTCTAGGTGAAGCCCTTGTCTATAATTGATCCACTGGCTACTATTCCTCTTATATACAAAGTCGATGAGCGCCGGTGAATGTCCCGGACAAGTGGTCTAAGACCCACGTGTCCCCACGACGGAGTAGTTTTTTCGTTTGTTTGAAGATGTGGTTTGGCCTCACTGTTAATTGAGAATAAAGGTTTTTGGTTACGCATAGTATTTTTCTACCTGAATGGTAAAAGACTAATTTCTCAGAGTATTATGAAATTCCTCATAATAGTGTTTTTTTATACATACCGTCTCAAAAATCAAACACAAAACATGATATTTAAAATGTCCAAATCTCTTTTATTTAGATCAACATTTGTGGGTAGAATTGCCGCCATGTTTGTGGATGATGCGTAAGGAGAGAAGCATGTGCAGGCCGATCCCATGTGCACGCTGTCCACGACTTCGTAGTCGGCCGGCAGGCCCCGCAGGTAATAAATCGGGCTCATTGTGCAGCACATGCAAAACACCTCGGCTTGAAAACTTATTTGCATTCGCTTTAAGTGTTTATAAGTGAATAAAATTTTTTCTCTCCTATATTTATCTTATATTTTATAAATTTTGACTGAAAAACACCTTTTAAATCCTGAGAACACGGTCAACTAACTTCAACTCAATGAGTTGCACAATTTGAGGGGGGAGATAATGGGGTCGCTGTTAAACATTAATATATTGGGAAAATTAAATATTGTAATCACCTAAATGTCTCACAATTTAATAATTATATTCATTTGTTAAGACTCTATAGAATTTGTTTCTTAATCTTCTTGGCATCTTCCAATCTAAGCTAGGTCTGTTTAAAACAGGAAATAACGGGGCCTGGTTTAACTGTTCATTAACTTCAATCCCACCTAAACCACAGGTATGCGTTTAGCATGAGTGCTGGGGAGGGGAGTAACAATGATGAGAGTCATTTTGGGCAGATAAGTGGCATTTGTTATTTAATGCGAGGACCAATAGAGGTCAGAGTCACATCAGCAGCATAAAGAAACGCCTTCTGAAAAATAAACGTGGCCGCTCCTTCATTGAATGCTCATATGGGTCCCGCCTTATTTGGGAATTCTTCGTTTTCCCGGCAGCCGCACAGTAATGAATAACCCTCCCCCGCCTCCCAATTCTTCCACCGATTTCACCCTTCTAATTTCCATGGTTAAACTAGAGTGGATAGATTTGAAATGATTTCTAAATAATTATTTAATTATAATTTATAAAATATAAAATAAATATGTGAAAAAAAGTTCTATCTCAATTTATTTATGAGTTTACAAGTGTTTATAAGTAATTATGATTTCAATCCTGCCTAAAGGTGGAAAAAAGAATTCCAACTTTTTGTGTACGGATGGCTCAGATTTGAAGAAACGTACAAGAAGAGTAAACATTATAGCCAGTTTAAGGCCTTAGAAGAAAAAAATTCTGAATCTGATTTTTATTTAGGAATAATTTCCCCTTAATCATACATTAACATGTTCGATAGGCTCCCAAAGTATACTGGGAAGTGAATTCAAAATGCAAAAACGATCCGATCCAACCATTCTAACTCTTTTTATTTTATTGTAATGAGTATTTAATTTATGCATTATTCTTCGTTTAAAATTTACTATCTTGTTGACAATTTTTTCCCCTTTGAGCGGATATATTATTTTTTTTTTTGCTAAAGCATAGGTATCGTTCTATTGGAAAGCAATCCTATTCGAGGTACTGTCGGGTACTAAATGTGGCACCTCTTCCAGTAGGGATTTGAACCTTGGTTCACCACATTGTGGGAGACTAGCCCCTTTCGGTAGACCCAACTCCCGTTGGTGATATATTAATTATTTTATTTTGCAATGAAACAAAAATCTAACCTTGGTCTTATTGGGCTTTACTCGGCAGTGTAGATTAGAACTCCCCAACTTGACTGGGCCGGTGTCAATCCACATCATTAGTCTGCCCCCTCATTATGATAGCCCAGTTCTTGACCCCAAATACTGCATATTGAGCCCACACACGATATTGAAATAAATTCCTAAAAAAATTATAATTTTTATAATATACTACCTCCGGTCCTACTCCTCCGGTCCTTATTATAAGACCTAATTTGACTTTTTATTTGGTCCTAATTATAAGACCAAATCCATTTTTCTTTTATAGTTATGCATTTTTTTCCAAGATAATCCTTCTAATAATGATAGTTTTAGCCAATATACTTAATTAGCAAGGATATTTTAGGAATAACAACACTTATTTATTATAAATAACCAACTTAACTTACTTCCTTAATCTCCTCAAATAAGTCAATTGGGTCTTATAATTAGGACCGGATGAGTAATTACTAATTATAAGAAACAAGACCTTATAATTAGAGCCGGAGGTAGTAATATGAATGATTTTTTTTTTTTCAATTGAAGATTCCGTTGTTTGATCTTCCTTTAATTAAAACAAATGCACTTAGGGTTTAACCAAAATCTGAATTATTCAATAATATCATTCATTAAAAATTACAACTAACTCGTTTTTTTGGGGACAAAACATTCATACTTAACCACGTGCAAGATAGCTCTTTGACGCTCTTATATGGGTCTGCTCGCTAAGCATACAATCAGAAAGTGGTCTTTAATCAAAGTATCACCCTACTTAAGGCTGTCCAGTTCACCATCACCATTCTAGATTTGTAGTTTTATCCGCCACATACATTTGAAGTTGTGGGGCTGCATCTGCATCAATAATTCGTCTGCTTGTCACATCCGGACCCGCATGCTAAGTGAATGGCGATTGCTGATGATAACCAACTGTTCGAGGAAAATAGTCCATGAGGATCTTGTTTCCAACGTGACAAGATACTGCTGTATCCTTTCTTTTGCGTGTCATAGAAATGAAACTCACAGTGATCCAAAGGATGCTGTTTTGAGTCTTACATCAGTGAGTTTTGCAAGTGTAATTTATAAGATTAAAGGGTTCTCTCACTTAATAAGCTAGTCTTTTGGATGGACTCCTCCTTTATACTAATGCTCGCAACGGATGTGTGGTGCACTATCTGAAATACATAACTTGTTCAGTCCGGATGCTAATTCCAGGTTTCGTTGGTTTAGTTTTGGATTGGCTGAATAGATAAAAATGTATGGTTTTTTCCGGACGGCAAAGATGCATGCTTGAGAACAATCGAACAAGAGCTGGAACGGAGTTTTATATTATACATGGGGAGGAGGTTTAGGGGAAAAAGATCATGGTAATCCTTCCTCTCATACACACAAATCCTTCCACAACCTCTCCAACTAAATGCAGGCCATATTTATTGTCTTTTTAGGTGAATGTTGTGATATGTTGGCGAATTCTGTCCATAGTGATATCATCGAACGGGTGTACTGTGTTTGGACACCTGTTCATAGCCCTGTCGTCATTACTGCAACTGGCGGCACCAAAATTTACGCACATAATTTGATCAATAAAGAAATATAAGGGATTGCATGTTTCATAAAACATCATAGTGCGTCGTTGCCTTTTCAAGCTTAGTGCTAAGCAGATCTCTCAGGTAAAGCTCTT